ATAGTTTTATTGCATTTTTTTATTTTACAATTCAGAGTAGATTTTTAGTAAATAGATAGTAGTTTGAAAAAAGAGTGATGATTTACATTCTCCAAGTCTTTTAACTAATAAAAAAGATTTTGAGATTGAAATTTAATTTCTCAAAACTTTATAAAGTGGTGGGTAAAATATGTCAAAAAAAAAAATATTTCATTCATTTGTGAATATTCCTGAAAGTTTCATTAAAATCTGAGAATTATTTAATTTTGCAAGAATTTCCAAATCAATGTTTTTTTTTTTCCCCTGAAAAAAGGCACTAAAATACTAATTGTAAATATTACATCGACCAATGACATAAAAAAAAAAATGAACGATATTTAACCAAAATTTGAGACATGCTAGAAATGATTAAAAAAAATACAATAAAATAATAAAAATATACTTTTGTCTTTCCTCTTAATAACAACATAAACATTTTGATGATAAAACTTTGTTTTTAAGCTTGAGGCCTTTTTTTTCATCATGCTGTGCTGTTTTTTCGGCAACAAAATGGAGGGCCCTAGGCCTGAGTTAATCATATTTTATGCTGAATTTGTTTCATATATTAATGAAAAATGCATTAGGTTTTTTTTTTACAATGAAAATTTATTTCTGTCAAAAAACATATTCTTTTCCAGTATAAGTAGATAGCTTCATCTACTGCCTGGTTTACACACCTTACCCATCTTTTGAACAGGAATCAAGGTTTATCCCTTCTTTGCTGTTTAAGATTAGGTTTACATTCCTTCTAAAGTCTACTTCAGCTTGATACTTCTTGTGTCTCTCTCTGAAAACTGATGGGATTTTTTTCTCTTCAAGAGTAGATAGGTTTGCCTATCATCTAGTTCATATTCCTCCACAGTCTTTTGAACAGGATTAGAGGTTTATCCCATGTTCCCGCTTCCTTCTAAAATCTTTTCATTCTCTTTCACTCCCAGTAGACCCCTCAACCCTTGTGTCTTAGTGGCATTATTGCCTTGTTTGGGATTTTAAAAAAAAAAAATTATTTTAAATAAAATGACTTTTTAATGAAAGCACAATTATTGGCAAAGTTGTCATATGTATCACCATATTCCAGACAGTACCACTCTTTTAGATAACCGTCCTGAATATGACGATAAACTATATCCTGTAGTAAGGCTTCTGATCAGGAGATTGGAAATTTTGAGGAGCATGGAACCACCTCTTAATTACTATCATTCCCCTATCCACCCTGACCCAGTATGGTAGCACCTGTTAGGGGTCCCAGCTATGGGCAAATAGCAAACCCCCAGACAAAAATCAATTGTACATTTTTATAGTAAAATTACCAACAATACATATTTTTTAAATGACCAACAATACAGTTTATCATCTACAAACTATATATCTAAAAAAATTATCTAAAAATATATATAAATATATCTAAAAAAAAATATCTAAAAATATATATAAATATATCTACAAAAAATATATATAAATAACATGCATTTACCCTAAAAGTATAAAATTATGTACAAAATATCTGTAGTTGAAAACACAAAATTATATACCAAATATTTAGATTTTGGCATTAAATAACCCATAAAAGTGTTGATATGCTACTAAATAAAATCAATTAATCCTTCTTTTAGACAACTTTCACAAACTGAAGTTATAACTTAATCTTTTTTACCCCTTCCTTAATATGTATAATTTATGACACTTTCCAATAAAACAGCCCAAGAGCCCTCCTCTGTACTATGTTAATTAAGAGGCACACCCATCGGTTGTTTATTGTATTTCTTGTCCTTTAAAAATTTTGTTTTACTAACCAGATTTCTCACCTCTCTTTCAGAAGGATTAGTTTTTATGCCTTAAAAAAATAGAATTTTTTTTTTTCCCCGCCTTCTTAACTTCTGCTTGTTTTCACTGATCTTTTTGTGTAATTTTTATACTCAATATTATATTCTTTTTATCCATTTCATAAAATTTTTAAAAACTTACTCCACCCTTCCCTTTTCCTGTCTTTTCTATTTCCACCTTTTTGTTTTTTATTATTCGCTTTATGAATCATTCTGTCACAAACCTGTTTCAGAGACAACTCAAAAAAAAAATATCTGTGGGTTTACCCACTCCCTCAAAAAGAGATATTTCCACTCTCACTCTTATTATATTCTACACATTTTAACAATTTTTCACGTGTATACGCACTTGAGTTATTTCTACAGACATACTTCAGTATCCAACAGTAACGAATGACTAAGAAATAATAAAACAGTTGACATCAGTTCTAAAATCAATGATTGCATCAGAAATAAAAAAAAAAAAAAAAAAGGTTCACCAGCAAGAAATCTCAACAAAAATCCATTTTATCTTGTTCTTGTGCTTTTTAACTCAAGAAATTTTCACTTGAAATACATTTTTAAACCTTCCATTAATACCATAGGATATTGTCACAGTATTATGGAATTTTCAAACACTGTCTTCAAAAAATGTGCCCCACATTGGGAATCATTGGGTTACACTTAATAAATTTGAAACCTTACTGGAAAATGTTACTCAGTAAGTATAATTGTGCACAAAACTGTATAATAAAGGAATATTTTAAATGAATAAACAAAAAAAAATACTGAGTAATCATTTATATACATTTGATAGATAACATGTAGGTGTATGAAAGAGATTAGCCCAAGGATAAGAAAGACATTTAACTAATATATTTTTTTTTCTTTATCAATGAATTTCATTCTCAGTGATAAAGATTAAATATTAAACACATGGAACAAAGATGATAGTGAAAATTACATATTAAAATCCAGTTCATGTTTACAGGGGATTTTTCTACAGATACATAAACTTTTTTTCTTTTTTTTTTTAATTTTTTTTCACTATTTGCTCTTTCTTCTACCCTCTGCTTCTCTATTGGTCTGTTCATCTTTCGTATACAAACGGAGTTGTCACCTTTATGGACTGGCATTACAGAATCACAAACAAAGAACTCTACCAAATAATGGAAACCACATCAGTTAAGGACTTTCAACAGCAGCAACAACTAAAATGTGTAGTACATGTAACTCAAAGAGAAAGCAATGACATAATTAAGTTACTGACATTCCACACTACTTCAAAGAAAAGGCAAAAGGGGTTGAGTAAATATCAAATTACTATAAAGTTTTAATCTCAGAATTTGTGGGAGAATTGAGCTCCAATTTCACATTTATTCATATAGATTCCATAATATAGGTTTTACTTAATTAGCTATTATGTTTCTCTAACTCTTCAGATGTTCAATGTATATCTAATTCTAATTTCTATTTTCCCATTTTTACACTATATTAATTTTATCTTATAAATTGTCCCCTGTTTTATCACCTATGAAATAAAAATAATTGTTTGTATGGAAAATAAGGATCTACATACATCAAATTCTCTTTAAATTAAGTGACAGCAGAAGAATTATCATTGATCTTTTAAAAGGTAAGCTTAAATATTAATTCAATACTTAAATGCAGCAATCAATTATGAGTTTTTCTTTAGTTTATTGATGCCTATCGCATCTACTCCTCCCTAGCTATTGTGATGATGGCCAAACCAAGAGCTATCCACAGGTGCTATCTTAAATGCTACCTAATAGGGCGTCTTTTAAGCTACTTGATAATAAAACATGCACTGCAATTTTGGATACAAAAGGAAAATAAGAGTTACTCCCCTTGAACCATGAAAGCAACAATAATAGCTTGTATAATATATTAATATGTATTTTTAACCTTGCATAATCTGGCAACCCCTCAACGAAAATTGTTCCCTGCACCTAACATTTCTAAAGATTTTGAATGAGTAATGAATTCTTACAATTAGACCAGTGGGGAGCCAAAGATTGCTTGGGGACACACATGCAGAAACACACATACATACACTGTACTTTATATATAAGATTACACTTTCTCACTAAGTATTATAATGAAGAAAAAATAGAATTCTATACTGAAAGCAAAATTAAAGAAAATTTGAAACCGAAAATTGTTTCCCCCCCCCCGCTACTGAGTGTGAGAGAATGAGAAAAAGAAAAAAAAAATTATTAAGATGCAAGAACAATAAATGTACAGAAATTAAGAAGACAAAAGATAATAATTGACATTGCGTTTAAATTTTGCAAAGATCAAAGTTGACTGGAAAACAAAAAGCTGGGACAGAGTACCACATGCGAGAAGTGCAAGAGAAGAAACTGTTAACATAGAACTTTAAATCTAACCATTTCAAATGTAAAATGGTGAGACCTAGCTGCCAATTTTGTACTGCACTTAAATTAATAAATTTTAGGTATCCTCAAGGAAAGTTTATCAGAACAATAAACATGAAAGTATTTATAGAAAAGTCACAGGGAAGTGACATTATGATAGTGGGAAAGTGACTGAAGCTGAGATGCCAAGTCAGGACTAATGACAATGCAGATTCTTCTTTGGATTTTATGGAGGAGATATATAATAAAGCATGCAAACTCAGCAATAGTAAAAGCGCAAGTGCTCAGTATCAAAGCTCATGTATATAAATATAAAGTTGTTAACTTTCACACTACCAAAAACAAAAGATTTGTAAGGAAACTTCCATCAATACTAGAAAGAGCAATAACATTTTGTGAACTATGATTTCCTGAAAAAGAAAAAGGTTTTCTAAAATTTCTACCTACAGTAATGCTAACTGTTCAATCAATAAATGCCAAATGTTTCCTTTATGGAAATAACTAATTTTAACATTAATTACAATTTGCAAATATAATATCAATTCTATTAACAGGAAGTTACTTGATATTGAGCTTAAAGAGGCAGCATTTAAGCATATTGTAAGAAAATAAAACTACATGCATGATTTACAAATTTTGTTGGTTAGTGAATGAATTTTATATTATAATTGCTTTTTTTTTCTTTCCTCCATTTATAGGCCACTCTTGATATTCGACATCACAACTCGCAGATTATTTCTATTTCTTATCCATTGTGACTGACCTATTTTCAATCGACAAAATGCCTATTGAGGAAGTTAGGCAAAAACTGCAGAAAGAACTCATCGGTCGGCAAAAGCAGATAGAACTGCTTGTTAGTCTTTTTGGAGAGGTAAGTAGAATCCTTTAGGGTTTTTTTTTATCAGAATTTTTTCAGATCTTTAAAAAAGAATAAGAAAAAAAATTGGTATGATCAGTTTTAACATTTCATAGGAGCAGATCAAAAACTGATTTACCTCCCTTACTTTTTTTTTTTTTTTTTTTTTTTTTTTTTTTCATTTTTCTTTACATGCAATGACAAGGTGGCGAGACTTACCACCTGATTGCCATTTTGCATGAAACTTGAAGAAACAAAAAATTAACTACAAAATCAAATCAAAATTGTTCTTTTGTTTGTATCAACCATTTTCTTTATTTTTTTTTTTCACATCATCCATGTAACATCTTAAAGTCTCTCACTCTCTCTCTTCAATTAAAGAATTCCTTGGGAAATCAAGAGATTTTCTGTTTGAATTTCTGGGTTGAGGAGTTATCAGTATATACATGTGGACTATTGTCCTCATCTTTGGTGGTGTTATCATGTTTTGGCCATTGTGATCTTCAATCTATTAACTGGGACAAGAAATGGCTTTTTAATTTTAACACCAAAAAAACTGCTCCCCTTTAATCATCTGAGAGAACATTTTTTTGCTTGGCTGATGATAACCTCCAGGAGAGTGACTCTTTCATCATCATCATCATCATCATTCGACCTCCCTATGGTTAGTCAGAACTCCATTGACAATCCTTTTCCACACTGTTCGATCCTCTGTTGTCGTCCCAAGTCCCGAGCTATGGTGTCTGGGAAAGTCAATTTTTGTGAGAAGACACTTCTAGAAGGATTTCATAGGAGTAAGGATGAGATGATTTCCCTGTCCGCTTGCTGGCGGTGGCAGTGGCTAGCCAAGTGACTCCTTACAATGTCTCAGACTAATGTTTTCTGCTGATATGAAATGGCAAGATTATTGAATCAATTGCTAGGTCTGCTGCTAGGAAAGTTGGTTCACTGTGTTGTGCTAGACAATTTTTATCATCAGAATCTATTTTACATGTTTATAAGTCTACCATTCGTCCTTGCTTTGAATATTGCAGCCACATCTGGTCTAATGCTTTTGCTATATATTTAGAGATTCTTGATAAAATCCAAAGAAGAATCTGCAATGTTATTGGTCCTGACCTGGCACCTCGGGTTCAGTCACTTTCCCACTGCCATAACATAGCTTCCCTGTGCCTTTTCTGTAAATATTTTCATGGTAATTATTCTGATGTTCTTTCCTCTTTGGTAAGAGACAGGACAAGTCCAGAAGGGGATGTCCAATGTCTTCTAATATTGAGGTTAAAGCCAAGATTGAAGTGAGAGGCTTCATCTTATCTGACATAGAAGATAAGACCTCAGGGACATTTCATAATTTGGTTAATCTTCCAAAACTCTCAAAATCCAATTTTTTCTATGATGTTCAAAGAAAGGTGGTTCTCACAAAGACCTACAGATTCATTTACTGAAAGCCACACCTTTAACCATCAATTTGAAAAAGCAATTGTATATAATTTAGATATTTCTGAACAGGTTTGACTCCATACATAACATCCATATGAAAGTCTCAAACTGATGAAGGCTATTTAAGAACATGATTCTAGTTTTTAGGTTAATTTTTTTGCTTTTGTAGCAACTTGCAGTGTTGGGTGAAACTCTGCTGAGCACAGTCTATTATATAAAAGGCCATAAATCTTCACACTACACTGTTTTCATTCAGTCTTTCATTTACTGTATTTGTTGTGTACAAAGACGACTGACCTCTGCTACAATAAATTGTGAACATAGACTCTTCCATTCAATATGAGAGGAATGTTGGCTCATAGGACCAGATCATCACAAACTGTGTTACAAAATGATTGCATGCATTGCCGCACTAAGTTCAGTATTCACTATTATTGTATTATTAATCCATGTGATTAATCGGTTTCTTCACTAATCTTTTGTTCCAGTGTTTTCCTTGACTACGAGCTTATATAAGCATTACAACAGTATTAAAACCTTTTTTCCACCAGAAAGGTTGAGACCAATCAGTACTTAGATAAGGGACCGATTGGGAACACCAGTTATTAGTGAGTTCTATAATGCCTTAAGATACACAAACATTTGTATATTGCCTCATATATAAATAATTTACATGATTAATTGCTTTTCTCTGATTTGGTACTATTTCAGATCTCTCTTGGCCAATGTAGGGACAGTGTGTGTGTGTGTTATCACAACTCCCCTGCAAAAAATATTGATACTCCTTTTCTGTTTTTCTTTTGATATTTCCAGAGTTTCAGTTCATCCATCCTTTTCTTCTTTTTGACACCAAGATTTTCTCTTCTTAATTGAATCGTCTGCAAAATCTACAAACAGAATAAAACTTTCCCGATGATTTCTCTTTGCAGAAACATGAAATGACAGTACCATCGTTATTCATTTATGGTCATACAGGAAGCGGAAAATCTTTGGTCATTTCAAGAATTCTGGAAGAACTTGAGGTAAGTCATTTTTTGTACATTCTTAGCAAATAATGAAATCAAAACAGTTTGATTTTTTTTTTTTTTTTTTTTTTTCTTTAGGTTTTAGCTACTTTTGAAACCTGTAATTTATATAAATAGCATACTACTCATAAATCTGTTGGGATCATTTACATATGAATCTGCACTTCTACCTTGGATTAGTGTAGTTAGTAACTATGTACTCTGTAAAAAAAATTAAAGTGTCAGATATAAATTGTGTGGCTAATTCTGTGACCAGAACTTGGAGTTAATAACCATCAATATTTTATATATATATATATATATATATATATATATATATATATATATATATATATATATATATATATATATAATTTAGGAAATGGATTAAATCCGATATATTGTTACTTTTAATTTATTTTGTTTAAATGTTATTTTTAATGGATACTCATATTCATGGAGAAGCAATTTTTTTTTTTTTTTTTAATTAGGCAGTATTTTTTATCCAAGTACATCTACCTGTCTGAATATTCGGCATGTAGGACTTCTGCTCAAGCAAAGGCCAGAAGTTAGACCAGAAGTCTATCCAATGACAGTTCCCTATAGGAGATGTAGGTTCAAATCCTGCCAGAGGTCACGTATTTTTATCAAATATTCACACCAGTAATTGTAGTCAGTTAAAAAATACTGTTTAATTAACCCATTAACTGCCAATTTTTTTTTTAATGCACATTTTTGGTCCAGACAGGTGTCTTAGGAGTTTATTCATTCCTTATGTTTAATTTCAATTGTTACCATTATCATTTTTATAGAAACTAGAACATCAAATATATATGTGTATAAAACATCAAAAAATAATATTGATTAGAAATAATAAAAGAATACTTTTCAAAATAGTCATTATTTTTCTACTCATGAAATGTAAAATTACGATAGAAAGTGTCTACTTATGGCTAATAAAAACGTTAAAGGCTAATTGTTGTAAAATATACCTCTGTAAATGCAATGTATGTAAGCAATTCAATGTAAATACAAGGGAGTTTAATTTTAACAGATCCCCAAATGGGGCTCATGGCAGGTAATGGGTTAAAAAAACAAAAAAAAAACAAACCTTCAACTCAAATATGAGTATTCATCAAAAATAATGTTTAAACAAAATAAATTGAAAATAACACACACACACACACACACACACACACACACACACACACACACATATATATATATATTTATATATATAAAATTAATGCCAGTTTTATATTTTAGCTTTTATCATTAATGGATTTTAAAGTGAATATTAATGTGTTAACTGAAGAGGAATAAGTTTGGATTTTAGAAGGTGAAATGGAACAAATACTGACTGCCACAAATGAATAATGATACAACTTAAGCATAATTTATTGCAAATTGGTAAAAGGAGGAGAACTGATTTCTTAGCATAAAAAAGGTGTCTTTTTAAAAACAAAAAGCTTAATACATTTTTTTCTTCCTCTTTTAGGGCAATGTGGTAACAATAAATTGTATAGAATGTTACAGCCAAAAGGTCCTTTATGAACAAGTGCTAGAGAAAATCACCATCCTCACAGTACCCGAGGGTGCTCATCAGGGTTATATTAAATGTGATAACATGAATGATTTTGTTAAGCATTTAACTTCTTCAGTGAAAGAACAGGAAATCCAAGAGGAAACTTTGTATATTGTGAGTACTTTTTACTCTTCTGGATCTTGTATATAAAGAGTTCATGAAAAAAATCTATACACATTTCAGGAATGGGAAAATTTGTATTGATATTGTAATACTAAATTTATTCAGACATCACGAGATTAATACAAGTTACCTTTTGGACTCTACAATCACAAGAGATGCTCAAAATGGTGGCCTTTAGTTTCCAGACATTTATTAGTATGGCCTATTAGTGCTTGGGCAACATTGACTAAATTGCATTTTCAATTTCTTGTCTAAGGGCCGCCAACGTAGTCGGTTTTCTGTGATACACAACATCCTACAGTAAACAGTGTTATCACAATTTGTTAAAACTATGAAAGACAAGTTTTTCCTTTCCTGAAATGTGCATACATTTTGGGGGTCAGTGTGTGTGTGTGTGTGTGTGTCTGTGCATGCATATATATATATATATATATATATATATATATATATATATATATATATATGTTTTTTTTTTTTTTTTTTTTTTTGTTTTTCTTAACTGTTTGTGCTACTTTCAATTTTGACACTTTTGTACTATTTATTTCTTCTTTCAGTTTTACATTTGTTAAAATTGTTATTCTACTGTTTACGCTTGTTGTGAAACTCCTAAATGCATATAGTGGCTCGAACACAAATATTGGAGAGCAGAGTTCAAATTCCAGTTAGTTTTTGTTACATTCACTTACATGTAAAATACCCTTGGGAAAGGCATGAATTCATCTCTCCCCGACCAGGCTAAATATAAATACAAAAATTTTTGAAAATACAGAGGATCTGTGGTCCATATAACATCAGGACAACCTTCAAAAGCTGGATGACACTTTGCAGATATCTCTCCCAAGTAAGACCCCCCCCACCTAAGACGAGAACATGACTAAAGATGTGTGTACACTATCCCGTGCAGCTGCAGAAAGAAATATAAAGTGGAGACAGGCTCCGCTCTTAAGGTAAGACTTCAAGAACACCAGAAAGCTGTAACATGAGGGGAAATGGAAAAATCAGGCGTGGCTGACCACATATGGAGAGAAAAGGGAGATCACTGCCCTCTGTGGGATCAAGTTGAAATCATAGACAAAGAACATCATTGGAAAATTCATAAACTTAAGGAATCAGCATATATGCTTGGCCACAAAAATCTCCTGAGCCAACCAAGCATAGAAATGAATAAAATATGAGAACCAGTAATAAGGAGTGCCAGAGAAAAGCGATAACAACAAAAAAAATTGCAAATTGCAATATGAGCTCTGGTAAAAAAAAATGTAATGATAACAGCAAAAATTGCAATACGAGCACTTTTAAAAAATGGTTGCTGAAGACATTAGGTTTATAATACCCAGAAATTCAAACACAAATGCCACAGTGAATAAAGGTGTTAGTTAGATCCAGTGACAGAACTCAAAGAGTGTTAGTTCAATACCTGGTTAAGGTGGTGGAGAACTTGAAGAGGGGAATTAACAGGAGATAACTGATAACTGACATCCATTAAATATGGCACGTGGAACTAGAACAGTCTACCCCAGTGAGCGAAATAAAGGGTTCAGTTCAACATTCCAACCACCTGAAGAAGGCTGGAGTGTACAACGGCCGAAACATTGCAATAAATATGGCAACAAAGATGAGGACAATAGCCATTCTAGTAATCCACCTAAATTCATGCAGTCAAGACACCAATGAGAAAAGTTCATCAGAACAGTTGCCATGAAAAACTGCGAGACCTAATTGCCAATCTAGTAGCACTTTTCAATTCATGCAAGTGAGCCATTAAGGAGGAAAACTCATCAGAATAAAAACTGCCATGAAAATACTTGTAGAAAAAACAAAGGATGCCATGTCATGTCAATGAGAAAGTGACTGAAGTCGAGATGCCAGATCAGGATCAATTATATCACAGACCATTCTTTGAATTTTGTCAAGAATCTAGAGATATATAGTAGGAGTATAAGACCAGATATGCCAAGATTATTTGATCCATGCACAAGTGGTAGCTTTTTTTTTTTTTTTTTTAAATAATTGTTCTTTATTGCTTTTATTTATTTATTCCAGATCTTAGACAAAGCAGAAAAACTAAGAGACATGGAACCACATATTCTTCCAGCTTTTCTCCGCTTACAAGAATTTGTAAGTTTCATTATTTATATTATTTCTCTCCTTCCTAATAATTTATTTACAATGATTATGGGCTGATGGTTATTTGGATAGGGAGTGGGGAATATTTCTCTTCTTGCCAATTTTTTGTGTAGTAGTTTTCCCTCTCAACTTTATTTTTTCATTATTATTATTATTATTATTATTTTTCCTACAATTTATACATAATTTTATCTTCTCTAACTCTTTAGCATTCAAGACACCTTCCCTGTAAATATCTGCTCACAAAATCTCACTGTGTGACTTCCTGTGTTATTAACAATGATTTTGTCATATATTAGGGCAGGTTATGGCGGGTTGAACATTGAGAGCCGATATTTACTGGGGTGAGTTGAGTGCTAAAGGGTTAATACTTTTTCAATTCAACTTTAACTAATTTCCAGTGTACAGAGCCAGAAATTTACATTCTATTGGATCAGTATTTTTTTTTTTTTTTCTTATAACATTTACTTTAACATGAAATTAAAAAAAACAGTAGACAAAGATACAACAAAATGCTAATTTTCAAATTTTATACAAAAGTTTTAATTTGATTTTTTTTTTTTTTTTTTTTTTTTTTTTTTTCGAAAATTCTTTTCAGACTCAACTTAATATTTGCGTGATATTTTTGAGTGAGATAATTTGGGAAAAATTCAGATCAAACACTGGTATATGTGAGCCTTACACAGTGTTCTTTCCAGATTATACTAAAGGCAAGTCTCTCTCTCTTCCCACCTCTCTCTCTTCCCACCCTCTCTCTTCCCTCTCTCCTCTCTCTCTTCCCACCCCTCTCTCGTCACACTCTTTCTCTCTCTCTCTTCCTCCCTTTCATTAATTTTTCCCATAGCTCATGGCAGTTCAATGCATCTATTTCATTTTCAGACGACATCTTTGAAATCCTGTGCCTTGATTGTCCTGAAGAATATTGCAAAGAATTCTATGCGTCTTACATTAACCTTCTTCTTAGTGTCTTCTTCTATGTCTGCAGAGATCTCAAAGAAATTCGACATTTGGTAAGCAAACTCACCAAACTCACTTTCACATTTAAACAGACATTTGAAAATTCTTACCGTATATACTCAAGTCTAGTGTGAGTTTTTATGGTCAGTTCTTTTTTTATGCAAAAAAATATAAGGGGCCACACTATAAACTGCGTCTAGAGATTATATGCAAGTTATGAATTGGTATAAAGAGTTGATACTTTTACATTATTATACCTTGTAAAACTAATGTAAAAACAATAATATGAAAAGATTTTAGAACAAATTCGTCAATTTCTTTTGAAGGAAAAACATAAAAAAAAAAATTTTTAAAATAAAAGATATATTAACAAAAAATAAGAACCTCCTAAAATTTATTGCACAAATGCTCCTTTCTTTTCAATAACTCTTAGCAGCTTATTGTCAACATCTGATTTTAGATTTTCAATTTTAGCAGCTGGTAAGTTGTTTGCAGCAACTTTAACTGCCTCCCAGAGGTCCCTTGTTGGCGTTTAAAAAATTTTCTTGACTCATGTTGCTTGCAAACCCATCCTCAAGCCCATCCAGCACTTTACTGAAATCAGTTTTCATGTATTTTTTTGCCCACTGCAATCTTCTGTCCTTATGTTTTTTTTGTTAAAATGGGTTTCTTTATTTGATTTTTTTTTTACATCAGCAAACTTCCTTAATGCTTTACACCTTGTTTCCCTTGACACCGTAGGAGCTCCAGCGGCCTCAAATATGAACGCACTTGACGCATTTGGGTTTCTTATTAATTCTCTTCGGATATGTGATAGATCTCACTTTGTTAAATTCTTGAATTCAGCCTGAGACTTTTTTTTCCTTGGTAGAATTCCCATTTGACATATTTTCTTGATTGTTCGATGATCCCTTTTCAAATCCTTAGAAATTTGAAGCGAAGACTTTCCTTTGCTAATTTCTTTGATTATATAGTTCTTTTCATTCATTGTTAGTTCTTTTTTTACTTGAGCCATAATACTAAATTTTAGTTCTTGCAAATAATCTCTTGACACTGCAAATTGCTATAATTACTGAAAAAATACTAAATATCAATCTGAAATTGAAAATTGGGACTTAATTGCTTTCATGCTTACTTGCTATACATAATAGTACAAATTATTTCATTGGATAACACATATCTATGAATTTTACATAAAATATTTGACAATACCTCTTTTGCATATAATCTCTAGACACAGTTTACATAGGTAATTTTTTGGAAGAGGTTAAAAATCATTCATTTTCAGTGACCGCTTGCACTAGACACAGGTGGATTTTTTCTGGAGGGATTAAAATTCATGCATTTTCGGTGTCCATAAGCTACCTGGCAGGCTTACATTCTCATGGCACCTTTGGCTAACCCTTAACGGTACAGGTAAGCTCCCTCAGCCTGCCTCCCATAGCCTAGGTTCTTTCTTCCTGTTGCTACATGAAGGACAGATTGTTATTCAGTATGGATGCCACTTAAAATCTACAAATACTTTATGTAGATAAAGAATTAACAATTATTTACATTATTCGAACTGTTATCCTCATCTTCATTGTCGTATTCACAGATTGTTCTAGTTCCACGTGCCATACCTCTTCCAGATTTCTCTACCTCGATGGAAGAAATAAAGGGTTTGATTTGAAATTCCAATCTCCTGAAGAAGGCCAGAGTGTACAACGGCCAAAACGTTATGAATATGGCAGTCAAGATGAAGATGATATTCTGAATAATGTAAAAAATGTAAATAATCATAATACCTCATCTCAGAGATATGGACAATTATTTTTAGTTATATCAAGAAAAATCCCTACAATAAAAAATATGCAGTTTTGCAAAAAGAACTGATTGTTAACTGTTTCTGAGACATTAGGTTTATAAGTCCCAGAAAGTCATACACAGATGTCCTCAAGTACACAAGGCCTAGTGGATAAAGGCATTGATAGATCCAGTGACTAGACCCAAAGAGTTGTAAGTTCAATACCAGGCTAAAGCAGTGGTGAACCAAAAAAACTTGGAGAATTGAGTTAAAGGGAAATAACTGAGATATCCGGAAAAGACAAGACAAGACAAGACAATCTACCTCAGTGGACAAAATGAAGTGTTCAGTTCCAATCAACTGAAGAAGGCCGGAACGTACAATGGCCAAAACGTGAATATGGCAATGATGATTTGGATAACAGTTTGAATAATGTAAATAATCATAATACTTCATTTCAGAGATATAGACAGATAGAATTAATGTTTTCTTTTTTTTTTTTTTCTCCAATTTGCATCCATCTTTATTTGCACATGTTTATATCACTGAAGTATTGCTTTTCCAATGATACCCTTTTGTCTTTTTTTATATATATATATATATATATATATATATATATATAGACAAAAGGGTATTTATTTTTTATTCCCGGAGTTATTTTTTCTGACTTCTTTTTGAATTTGTAGGTCTGATGAATTGGATCATATTTACAATTCCAATGTAATAAATTATGACCATGGAGTACTAGTGTTTAAGCCTTTTTATTTTATTTTTATATATATATGATTCAGTTGTATTCCTAATTTTATCTTCCTCTGTTTATTATGTTTATTTTTATTTATTATATTTTTTGCAATTACTTATATTATTTTCTTATAATTCTCCATTACATTTTCTTAAAAGATTTTGACAAGATGCACCACAGTATACTATAAATGATGATTGCACAGGGTGAAATACCAAATTAATTTTAATTCTTGTCACTTCATTTGCGGTATACAGTAATATTATCAATAGGAATCAACAAAATGGAGGATCATTATAAAAGTATATCCGACTATTCCTATATAAATTATACTCAAACTATTACAGTACATGCTACAGGAATAAATGATTTATGATACACTTAATAAAATAACTATACAAGAATAAATTATTTATGATATGACAAAGAAAATTTCTTTTATTAATTCTTCATTTATACAGTGTAACCCGGATATAAGAGAGTTGTCAGGACCGGAGAAAAAATCTCTTATATCCGGGTTTGGTCTAATTTATATACATTAACACAGGCTCTAATTTGGGACCAGAGAAAAACTCTCTTATATCCGGGTCTCTTATATCCGGGTTACACTGTATAAGGTATTTGTTGATTTTAAGTGGCATACATAGTGAAGGATGTTTTTGATCTTTATGTAGCGACAAAAGGGAAGAAACTTAGGCTACGTTGAATGCAGACCCAGGGTAAAGGAGCTACCGTAGTTAGGCATGAACAAAAATAAAAGTACTGTATCTAAATATTTCTATTATATATTATACAGTAAATGGTTTTTCCAACATTTTGTGATGGCTTTGTACAAAAAAAAGTATGAAGGCCATTTAGTTTCTATAAAACATGTCCAGGATGATGTCCAGTGCTGCAATATTTGACTACAGTAGGCAGACTAGCATTGATCAGAAGCTGAAGTCAAGTTGTACATGAGCTATATGAAAGCATCAGGTTTTTCACAAAAAAATTGGGTGGTGGGGTTACACTGTACATGAATTAGGCTTATACATAAGTATATACTTATACATAAGTATATATTTATACATAAGTATATACTGTAAATTTTTCAGCATTGAAGATGCTATTTTTCCACAAAAATTTTTTCAAAATCCTCTGGGGAGATGCTGAACCATACCATCTCAATACCTGCTTCCTGATATTTGGAAGTGCAGAATCTTGTGTATGACTAGGACTCTCCTCAACATCCTATGAATACTTAATTGGGCTTTTGTTAAACAAAGTCTCCAGAAAGCTGCTCAAACCAATTCTGGGTAACCTGATGATCTTGTGCCTTATCCTACTGGAATAACATATCTATGAATGAGTGCAAATGGTCACAAACATAATAGTCTTTGGTCAATGTGAACCAGCATAAACATACCACAATACCATTATAGAACCACTACAAGCCATCATAGTGACTTAACCTTTATCCCAACAAATTTTTTCTGAAATTGTTCACGCTACTACTGCATTTTTTTGAGGGCACAAAAACATGACCACCTACTGTTTTAAAATTGTTATAACTTTCTTTGTATTGTGTGTATAAATTTTATTTTTTTTATACAGTGTAACCCTGATATAAGAGAGTTGTCGGGACCGGAGAAGAAGTCTCTTATATCCGGGTTTGGTCTATTTTATATACATTAACACAGGCTCTAATTTGGGACCTGAGAAAAATCTTTTATATCCGGGTTACACTGTACTAATAAAAGAATGGATTAGTAATATTTCAATGTAATGCATTACATTTTGCATACATGTTATGACGTTGAAAACAAACAAAAATTGAAACACAAAATGAAAAACAAAAAGTAAAAAACAAATACATTAACAATTTAACATTAACTTTTATCACTCCTTGTGGAGTTCTGGGGTACAATAAGAAACAAAATGGCTAAGAAGGCTTTCAATTCATAAAAAGTGATGTGCTTCGTCGTGTTTACATATGAGAAGACACCAGCATTTGTTTGACCGTTCTTTCACCTGACTAGCATATTTATTTATCTCGTTGACAAATAAAATTATTATTTTGTTGTTTATAAATAAGCAAAATAATTCACCTTCAGAAAAGCTATGAGGTACATCCATGAGGCCAGTAGTTTCCATAAATTAGTCAGCCATGGATGATACTAGCCACTCAGCATCTAATAGGCATCATTGCTTTCCTCCACAACAAGTGTGGTTATGCAGAAGAAAAATCTCCTGACTGGTTCAGTCAATATCCACTTGAGTAAAGCCTTCAAAATTATCATCAGAGTCTGAATCAAAGAAAAACTCTTGAATAAAGGCTTCATTGAATGTTGATGTGACCATTTTTGTTTACAATGAAAAATGGCAAAAAATTTAACATTGGTTTAATCGAGGTTACACCACATGTAGTGTGTAGATTTCAAAATGGCATCAGTAAACAGAAGCTGAGCCTTGTTCCAAAGTGGTATGAGACTATTTCTAGCTTAAGATACCAGAAATAACAGTTGACAAGTGTTTATTTATAGCAAACTTCTCAAGATGACAGAATATGCATACAGTGTACAAAGGGAGAGAATTCTACGGCAACAATTTTTGCTTCCAACACGATAAAGATTAACCCTTGGCACACTGGTGTTCATGACCACATGGCATTTGTATCAAACCCAAACCTGACCATCAGCCTAAACCAATTGCAATTATGACTCATTGGACCACATTACATGTTACCAATTTTCCAACAGGATGACCTTGGTGGATCTCCTGTTCCCATATCCAATGAAAGTTAAAGAGCACTGACTTGACCTGATAGCTATGCATCTAGTATCTTTTGTATTCATGTGATTTATATCAGTTTTACCATAGACAATTTTAGCCAGATACCCTCTCATTACAATCATTAAGGACCCTGTATTCAGCTACTACACTGTCAATAGTGGGTGGTAATTCCTTCCATCAGGTATAAATCAAGGAATGTCAAAAGTCCCCCACAATTTCAAAAATAGAATGCCTCATCTCTTTTGCTCCCACTATTGTACCCCACGTTATCTTTCTATGAGCAACCTAGCTAGTGTTTACAGACTGACTAGATTTCAGAGCCTAACTGATGATATAAATCTGGGTATTTCCAATCAACATCAATGTATACTAATGCCACCAATCATTATGTACAGCTAACCCATCACTTTTGGCATGTCAGTGTATGTATGTATGTATGTATATCAAGATTCTATAACCTAATGATGAAAATATTTATTTTTCAACATAATTTCCTTCAGTTAGCTCAACACTTTTCCATTAATCATAGATTGGACAGTATACAGTGAAAATTTCAGATGAAAATTCAGCCTATGACTTGGTGTATCATTTGTTCTAGCTTGTTCTAGACACCCTCCCCCTCTGAAAGTGGCCAAGGGACTTGAAACAAGGAAAGATAGAGCCAGACAATAGGAAAAAGGGTGACATCATCAAATGTTTTCTGTTTTTCTCCCCAACTAACATTCTAAATAAACTGGACCATTTCAACATCCTGAGAAAGGGAGATTGTGATCAATATGTAACATGACTACCAAACTATATTTACATTAAGCTTAGTCTGGTACAAGCACACTAATGTGGAGTACTAAATGTGGATCTCCAACTCATTAAAGTAGTCATGGTATATAAGGCACTATTTAAAATTTGATCAAATCTGTTCATCACTTAAATCACCCATCATATTTTATTTCTCACTGAATATTTTATATATCTCAAAAGTACTGCCGACTCACCACTTCTCTCACTCAACTTTATATTGGTCTTAGTGACATGTCCGTCCAGAAGCACTTCTACATATCAATATCTTCTGTTAATATAAATAGTAAGATTGTATCCATTGCTGGTTTGCTAGGCCTGTTGCATAGCTTTACAGCACTTGATATTCTCCAGTGGTCACCTATCTGAGTACTGACCGGGTTCAGTGTTGCTTAACCTCAGTGACTGGACAAGAATCGGTGTTTCAACGTATGACTGTAAGATCTCAAAAGTACTCCCTCATGAAATAAAAAAAATTCTTTGAGTAAATCCATTTCATGCCTTAAATTCATCAAACCATTAGCTAATATATAAAATAGCTTTATACATGAACAATTGTTGCTGATGTACAAAAACAAATTTTGTATGAAAATTTTTATTTCATGATTTTATTTTACATTAGTTCACTTTCAAATTTTTTTAATTTGAATGTTATAAAAAATAACATTCAAATTAAAATTTTAAAAAATAAACATTTTCTGTATTGCTTATATTTTTTGTTTTTCCTTTTTTTATGAAGGTGATTATAAGACTTTTAAATTTTATTACTCAAAATTTTTATTAAATTTAATTATTCTCATCTGAATTTTTTGTTTATGCTGTCTATAATATTTTATCATAATATAATCTATAATATTTTATCATAATATAATCATAATATAAATATTTTATCATAATATAATCTATAATATTTTATCATAATATAATCTATAATATTTTATCATAATATATAATTTTATATAATATAATATTTTATCATAATATAATCTATAATATTTTATCATTTATCATAATCATAATATAATCTATAATATTTTATCATAATATAATCTATAATATTTTTTTATCATAATAATATAATCTATAATATTTTATCATAATATAATCTATAATATTTTATCATAATATTTTAATAATATAATCTATAATATTTTATCATAATATAATCTATAATATTTTATCATAATATAATCTATAATATTTTATCATAATATAATCTATAATATTTTATCATAATATAATCTATAATATTTTATCATTTAATCTATAATATTTTATCATAATATAATCTATAATATTTTATCATAATATAATCTATAATATTTTATCATAATATAATCTATAATATTTTATCATAATATAATCTATAATATTTTATCATAATATAATCTATAATATTTTATCATAATATAATCTATAATATTTTATCATAATATAATCTATAATATTTTATTAAAAAATGAATGGGCTAAAAATATGATGAGGGCTTTTTTTATACATATGTAAAGGGTGAAGCAAAAGTCGTACACCATAGATAATTCATGAAAATTTTATTTACTAGTTTTTTAATTGTTAATGTGTTGTTAAAAAATGTCCCCCTTCTTTTTCAAAACCCATTTCAATTCTGTCCTTGCAGGATTCATTAACACATCAGAGTTTCTTCTGTCATTTTACTGCATTCATATTTAATCCTTTCTTTTAAATTCCTCAATATTTTTGGGACGTGTCTAATAAACAACTGATTTAAAATAAGAAAATATCAAAACAAATTGGACATTTAAAATATGATAAATTAATCTATATTTATTTTAACTTTCTTCAAACAGACAATTTTTTTAATTAAAATATTTTTAAGTTACAAACACAAAGAGATCCCACTTTGTTGTTTCATCCAGTTGTTTATAGAGTAGTTATTTATATTTCAGCTTTTTTTTTTTTAAATAAACAATATTTTAAATATTTAAAAAAATATTTTTTGGCATATTTAAAAATATTTTCAAGTGAATATGATTAAAAAATATTTTTTGGCATATTAAAAGATATTTTTAAGTTAATCTGATTTAAATGCTGTAAACAATCAGTAAAACCAGACTAATGATGACATGAACAAATTGAAATATTTAACTGAATCATAATAAAATTAACTTTCATTTCAATGGAATGTTGAAATCAACTTCAATGTTTTATAACCTGAACTGTCAGTGAACAAATGGGTCATGGGTGGTCTAGTAAACCCCCTATAGTGCACGACTTTTGCCTCATCCTGTATATTAACACCAGATATCCTGTACCTTTCTGCTTATACAAACAATTATCGGAAGTCTTATAATAGATACACAAATTACAGAACTTTTTTTCTTTTTCTACAAAATGTATTTTTCTTGCAGGCTTCACTAAATTTTGCCAAATTTGAAGAACCCATAAAGAAAGGTGAAGGTAGGTTACATAATCCCATATTGAACCTAAATATACCTCCAAGAATACCATAATTATTCATGTATAATACACACTTATCTCCAAATTTTTGATCTTGAAAATTAAGAGTCTGTTGCGTCCTGGATAAGACAATAAACTACATCCGTCATCCTAGGTAAGACAATAAACTACATCCACGTCCTGAGGAAGATAATAAACTACATCCAACAACAAGGCCTCTGATCAGGAGGTTTTGAGGAGCATGGAACCACCTGTTAATTGCTGGTGTTCACAGCTCATCCTGACCCAGGGTGGTAGCACCTGTTAGGGTCCCAACTATGGGCAAATAGTTAACTCTATGAAAGTGTAAAAATAGGTTTTAATGCCACCAATAAATTTTTTGAAAGAAAAATTATTACAAGCAATACATTTTTGAAAATAAATATTACTAGCAATAAAAATCTTGTCAGCATTAAATAACCCATTGAGGTTGATATGCCATAAACCAAACCAAACTAAACTAAGAGTCTATTATACATGAGAACTGAACAGTCACTGGCATCCAAACCCTGAACTTCTCAATCTTTCACACAAGTGACGGACTTTCCCACATGTTTCCCCAGTAACCCTGATGGACACGCCTCTATTCTAAATCTCCTTTTCACCTGTATCCCTGACTCATGTCATACTATGCAGATCTGCTCTCTTGGCAACTCTGATCATGCAGAGTAGTGTCTGTAAATATCTCCTTCCACTCACCACCAGACAAAAACCTCATACCAATAGAATATCTGTCTGTTATCAACAAGCAGATTGGGACTTGTTCTGTGATTTACATTGTGACATTCATTGGAATAAAGTTTTTATTCATCCTGTTCAAAAATGTGCATCTGAGGTTTTCTCCTCAGTGAAAGCCAGTATCAATTCTTTCATTCTAACAAGGTAAATACCAAGTTAAATCATGTTCATCTCCTTGATTATCACCTGCATGCTCGGCCACTATAGCCCACAGGAATCACTTCTTCTGGCTGTACCAGAGCAACACATGTGATTGTAACAGATATCTCTTTGTCGCTGCTCATAATATTGTGCAAGCGGGTCCTCAAAGAAGCGACATTATTGTTTGCTGATAGAATGAAATGTATAATATCTCTCAAGTTTGGTTCTAGAGATTATTGGCAGCTCTGCAAGAGTGTGCTGAACAACAACAAATCCTCAAACCCTTCTCTATTCAATCGATTTGAAGTCCCGGCATCTACAGCAGATAAGGTAGAATGGTTTGCTTGGAAATTCTCTTTCAACTCAACACTTGACTCATTTGGAGCATCCACATCTGATTTCCCTGAGAACAGAGGCTGTACTGAGTGATATGCACATAACCCTGTCACTGGTTTCAAACATTTCTAAATTAGAATCCCTTAAGACAAGCATAGGTGACAGGATCCCCGGCCATTATCCTAAAGAAACGTGCTCCCAAGCTGGCTCCAATTCTCTTCAAACTCTATAAATATTGCCTCTCTACTTCCTGCTTTTCTAACTTGTTGGAAGTCCTCCTCTGTAGTTCCGGTTTTTAAGAACTTTGGAGAACCTTCTGACCCCTCTATCACCTTACTACATCCTACTGCTTTAATCAATGCTGAAGTGGTTAAGCATCTTACCCCTCACAAACTACTCACTGTCAAACAATATGGATTCCATTTTGGCCAGTCTCCTGATGATGTACTTACAGACAACATTGAATATGCATATCAAACTCTTGATAATAATGGCAAAGCTCAAGCTGTGGCTCTAAATATCTCAAAGGCGTTTGACAGGGTTTGACTCACTGGTCTTCTATGTAAGCTCCAGGGCTATGGTATTACTGAAGGATTGTTTGATTTAAACCAATTGTTCCTATCAAATCATGAAACAGGTCATTCTGAACAGGCTTGTTTCCAGATCCTTTCATATGAACATGGGTGTCCCTGAAGGCTCTATCTCAAGTTCTACACTTTTTCTGATTTTCATCAACGATCTCCCTGATGTCATCAGTTTCCAAGTAGGCATTTATGCAGATGACACTACCATTTATTCCTATCTCAATAGCAAATCTGTCGGAGTTAACCTGGTCGCTGCACTTGAAAAGGACCTCCAATCAGTGGTTAACTGGGGTAGGAAATGGCTTCTAAATTTGAAACCGTTTTCATTTAACCACCATAGAGAAACTTCCCTGCCCGCCATCAGCAATGGCTCATACTCAACTCCAGGAGAGCATCTCACTGTGGCACCTTGGACTCACGTTTTCAACTGACTTCAAGTGGAACAACTACATTGAATCAATAGCTGCATCTACTTCAAGGAAAGTTGGTTCATTGTGTCATGCCAGAAGATTTTCTCTTGTCAGAGTCCGTCTTGCACATTCACAAATCTACCATTTGTCTGTGCATTGGATACTGTTGTCATATCTGCTCTGGTGATCCTGCTAATGATCTTGATGTTCTTGACAAAATCCTAAGAAGAATCAAACATGATGTGGCTTCCCTCTCTCTTTTCTACAAATATTTTTTTCATGGCAACTGCTCTGACAAGCTTTTTCCCTGGTTCCCAACTACATGGATTTAAGCATGCAACTACATTGGCATCTAGATCCCACCCTTTTACTGTTGAAATAGTTAAATGTAACTGCCACTTTTACTCCAACAGTTTTTTTTTTCTCACACTTCCCACCTGTGGAACTCCCTTCCATTTACTTGCTTCCCTGAAAACTACAATCTTCAAGAATTTAAATGCAACATCGATTGCCATCTTCTTAAACCCTATTCATCTTTTTGTCCTTACTTCAATCCTCCCTATACTCATTCTCTCACTTTCACTCTGTAACTCCCTGCATACTAGTGGCATTCCTGCCTTGCTTGGGATGAAATGATTTTTAAAAAATTAAAAGTATTAACTTCAAAAGCATGTTATGTTTATAGTCCAAACTAACTAATGTGTTACAAATTTGAAATCACTAACCAAATACAGCAGTTTATTTTTAATTTATTTATATAGATATCTCATTGCTAGACATTTAGAAAGAAAGTTTTGTTGCTTGCAAGGAAGATTGAGGTCTTGGGAAAATAACTCTTGTTGCCTAGGAAATAGTTACAATAAAAAGTGTTACACCAATTTTCAACAGTGGCAGTAACCAAATATATATATATATATATATATATATATACATACAAGTGTGATTCAATAAGTTTATAACCAGCTAACCTGAAAGCTGAATTTTTGGATAAAATTTTCATTCATAAGACACGCACCCTTCAAAAATGTTTTATTTAACCGTTTTCAGTGCTGTTTTGTGCTTAGTCATTTTTCAAAATGGGTGGCTGTATTTTGGGATTTTTTAATAGCATTCCCAAGATCCATTTTTCTTTTCATGTTCCAAGAGTTTGAAATAATTTCATTCTTTTTATGTATTAAATTATTCACATTTCATATGTTCTATAATTTTCAGTTTTTCCATTATGTATAGATTGCACTCTTTTATATGTAAGAAAAGAAATATATAATTTTACTGATGTGCACTCAATAGAAGGCCCAAGAGCCACTTAAGATAGAGGGTTACCGTGTGTATTTATATTAGCTTAGGAAAAAACAAGCGTTAGGGGTATAGAGCTGAAGTAGACTTTAGAAAAACCTGGAAACCTTATTCTAAATAGGAAACAAGGAGTAAACTTCTACTCCTGTTTAAAAGACTGTGAAACCTACCTACTCCTGTCAGTGAAGGAGAGAGAAAAAATAAAATGAAATAAATAGTGGATAAAATTTCAAATCTAGGCACAAACATCAGGAGCACAGAACCAAAGCAGACCCTAAAAGGAACCAGAAACCCAATTCCAAAGAGATATATATATATGGGTTTGACACAAAGAAGTCTGTGAGGGCTTTGCACAAGTCTGCTTCATTGGTGAAGGATTTCCCACAAAGATGATTATCCAAGGAGTGGAAGAGGTGGTAATCAGATGGCGCAAGGTCAGGTGAATAAGGTGGATGGCACAAAATCTCCCACCCAAGTTGCAGTATGGTATTCCTGACCACTCGCATGACATGCGGCCTGGCGTTGTCATGGAGGAAAAGCACACCTTTGTGATTCACCAGTGCTGGCGCAGTGCCTGTTGCACATGTTTCAATTGCTGCGAGTATAGATCTCCAGTGACCGTTTGGCCCGTTGGTAGCAGTTCATAATGAACCACTTGATGACCTGTCCAACAGACACAAAGCATAATCTTGTGTGGATGCATAGGTGGTCTTGCGGTGTGAGCGACAGCATCCTGAGGAGACAACCAATCTCCGGAACGCTTGGGAGTTTCGTACAGAATCTACTTTTCATCACTGGTAAGCACTCGATTGAATAAGGATGCAGTACGGTGGCAAGAAAGCAGCGATACACAGGCTGCCACTCGTTGTCCCTTGTGGACCTCCAACAGCGTTTGCGGAACCAACTTGCTCAGTTTGTATGTCTTACCTAGGCGGTGCAGGCGAAGTCTAACTGTTTCATCGGAAACATTGAACTGTCTTGCAAGTTCACCACACATTAGACTACTGGCCTCTTCAATGGATGCCTTCAAGACCTGTGGTCGCCCACTGCGAGGTTCATCATGGAGGGACAAATCTCCCGACTTGAATTTTTGAAACCAACACCTTGCAGCACGTTCATCCACAGCACTATCCCCAAACACTTGACATATGCGGCAACTTGATGCAGCTGCTGATATGCCCACTTTGAAGTCGTAAAGCAAACAGCCCCGAACGAGATCTCTAGACACTTCCATCCTTCTCACAGCAGTCCGGCTTATAACTGATGGCCGGGCACAGTGCACGTGTTTTTTTATAACATCTGATGTTCCTACTTTCAGCTGTCCGAATATGAAAACAATTGCTACACGCATTTCATATATATTTCAACTTCATTTAATGACTAATCAAAAAACAGACAGAACTTTTTTGGTTGCCTTGTATGTATGTGTGTGTGTGTGTATGTATATATATATATATATATATATATATAATGTGCCATCCATTTATGTAAAGTTACTCAGCACATTTTTACCTGATCTTATTGTTAGGGCAGGTGTAAAGGCTTTGTGTCCCAAAATCTCATATACAGGGCAAACTGCTGTACTACTTGTCAATTTTCTTAAAGTATTATTCATATAAAGTACAAAGTCTATTGTAACTTAATTATGTACAATAATGATCATATGCAGTATTGGTGAACAATTCAACTAAAAAAATTGAAAATAATTACATTGTTTCTAAATCAAGTCTACCCTTATACCATGCCTGGCAACCATGCAACTGGGAGCCTAAATTACTACTAACAATTCCTGAGAACATTTTTAGTAAAGAACTTCTTAGAAACGTCCAGTAATTAGTCAATTAACAACTATATATAATATTAGGGAGCATCTTACAATTATTGACTTATTTCCATAAATGCAAATGTACAAAGGAAGAACAAAAATAACTAAATGCACAAAAATCACTTTATTGACCATAAATTAAACATTTTTAGATAATATTGCAAAATAATGAGTTAATTTGTTTATATCAATTGATTACAGAATATATAATTGTATAAAACAATCAGAAAGCAATTTCAGCATTTTCAAAATTGATCAACAAAGTCTGAAAATACTTTTAAAAAAATGAATTTTGATAATCTTTTATAAAATTTGATTTTTGTTTCACAGAAAATAAATGATACAATAATAGATATTATCATTAAAAAATATAGTTTTAAGAATTAAAATCAATTTATATTAACAAGAACACAAAAAAATAAATAACAGGATAATTTGTAAAAAGGGTAAACAAATTATTACAAAAAAGTCATATATGTAGAAAAAGGGGGAAATTGAAAAATATATATGTAGAAAAAAATTGAAAATTTTACATATGTGAAAAAGGGGGAAATTGAAAATTTTACATATATGTAGAAAAGGGGAAATTGAAAATTACATATATGTAAAAGGGGGAAATTGAAAATTATTATTAAATGTAGAAAAAGGAAAATTGAAAATTATTACATATATGTAGAAAAAGGGGAAATTGAAAATTTTACATATATGTAGAAAAGGGGAAATTGAAAATTATACATATATGTAGAAAAAAGGGGAAATGAAAGATATTACATATATTAAAATTGAAAATATTACATATTTAGAAAAAGGGGAATTAAAATCAATTTATATGTAGAAAAGGGGGAAAAGAAAATTAACATATATGTAGAAAAAAAGGGGGATATATGTAGAAAAAGGGGTGAAAATTATTACATATATGTAGAAAAAGGGGGAAATTGAAAATTATTACATATATGTAGAAAAAGGGAAAATTGAAAATTAAATATGTAAAAAAATAGAAAAAGGGGAAATTGAAAATTATTATATATAGAAAAGGGGAAATTGAAAATTATTACATATATGTAGAAAAGGGGGAAATTGAAAATTATTACATATATGTAGAAAAAGGGGGAAATTGAAAATTATTACATATATGTAGAAAAAGGGGGAAATTGAAAATTATTACATATATGTAGAAAAAGGGGGAAATTGAAAATTATTACATATATGTAGAAAAAGGGGAAATTGAAAATTATACATATATGTAGAAAAGGGGAAATTGAAAATTATTATATATATGTAGAAAAAGGGGAAATTGAAATAAAAAATATCTTGTATCCCTGTGGTATTTATTGAATTTTAAAACACACAATTCATTTTTCAAAAATGTTCCTATTGTTGAAAATAAAACTAATATTATTAAAATTTCCTCTTTGGTAGGACAATCTTTTTAGTAACACAGCCTGCTATATACAAAAGTGACATTTTAATATCTTTATGGATCCTAGTTTTAAGATCTGGTAAATTATCAAATGTTTGGCATCCTATTTCATCCAGCAAATGTCCACACTTTGGGCAATTATTTCCTGGATAAAAGTTGTATTCTTTGACTTCATCATTTAATTTAAGAAGTAGTTTTAGTTTTTGATATTTATTTTTTCAATAACATTTTGAATTGTTATAAAATATGCACCTTGATAACTTTGTATTAATTTTCCAAATTGTCTGTGGTAAATTCATTATTCATAACAAAATTAAACCGATTGATAAGTAAATATCTACAAACATAAGTTAAACCATTGCATGTATGTTTAGTGACTAAACTAGTATCTCTTGTTAATGATTTCAGTCTTTTTTTCTTTGATTTCCTCTCATTTTTTTTTGTCATTTTTTCCAGAATTAGAAAGAAATAACAAATGTTCATCTAAATCTGATTTCATCTTTTTTTCAGTGGATCCTTTTTCATATCACCATATATTTCTTTGACACAATTTTCCAAAATTTTCAATGAAATTAAATATTCCTGTAGTATCCTCCTCATTTAATAATGGGTGTGTTTTAATGGCAGCTAGAATTTGATCACAGAAAATCTCTTAAACACTGGGAAAGATTTTGTCACTCAACAAGTTTTGGGTAAACTGCTGTATTAGTTAGTTTTGACAGCTTAACAAATTGATATTTTTCATACTCCAAAAGACCTTTTACAATTTCCCATTTTGCAGTCATTTTTTGTCTTCAGAATAAAACAATATTTCAGAAGTAGGTTCAGTAACCAAGTTATTCCGAATATTTTTAAAAAGGTGGACATAATCAAAAATAAGTACAAGCCATTTTTAGTTATCCAAGGTTTATTAAAAACAATGTCAAATTTTTTGAATAAAGATTGTTTTTGGTATATTTTAATAGTTGTAAAATGTTAAATTTATTGAATTTAATTTTTGATATTAACTTTGTGATAAATTCTTTAATAAGTATCATTTTTCATTACTTTCGCAGTAAAAAATGTTACACTTGTTAAAAATGCCTTTTATTTATCTAATGATAAAATGAATGATAGAAAAATTCAACATAATTTTAAAAAAACATAATACCTGTTCTGTTAAAGCAAAACAAATTATTCATAAAAAATTAATTTTATACTGAATATCATCATTGTTGAAGAACAATAGCGTACATAAAAAATATTAATTTATATTACGACAATGTAGTCTTCATGTCATTCACTGCACAACCTGTGGGGTGACATCTAAGATCATCTGTGTCTGCATATACACCAGACTTGCTATGTTCACATGTTTGTCTCCTTGGCTGTCATCAAATTCAACAAAGAATAACAACAAATGCTTTTCAAGACACTGGCTGGGAAATAGCAACAATACAATAAGATAGGGAAGGTCATAAAGCATTGCCCGGGACCCCAATCAAGCCTCACTCACACACACACACACACACACACACACACACACGCCAGTCAGAGGGTTCATTGGTAGTATGTACCGGCCCTGTTTATACTCTTCATGTATACATGCAATAAATGATATTCACTTATTTTCATCCTGTCTAAAAATTTAATGATTTATTAGTCATGAAAAAACTTCAGCCTATTTGGTCTTTTTTAATGGCACCAGTAATTTCCTAATGAAAAATAACGTTTCTTAAAATTTTTGTTTTTCTTTTCTTTCATTTACAATTATTCTCTCACATTTTCTTATATATTAACTAATAATCATACATAAACAATGATTACATCCAATGTTTCTTGAATTTTGTAAGCTTTTCGGTGAAAGTAAAGTTTTCAGCATTTTAAGCCATTGGTGATTTTCACTAAGGAAGATCATGCGTGTAAATATATTTTGCTTTAGAAACAGGAAACATTCATGAGATTTTTTTTCTCTGTAAAAGAAATATACTTTTTTTATTTTCAAATAAATAAATTGGAAATAAATCACATGCAATAAGTGTTAATTGCACTGTCATCAGTGATAATATTATAACAAAAGTTCAATTTTTCTAATTAGAGAAAAATCTTTTCTCCGAAGAAAATACAAAAATATTCCCCATTTCTAAGGTATATATTTACGCATATGGTCTTCTGTAGTGAAACTAGCTGAGGTATCTACTACCAAAAATTAACTTAGTGCGGCCCAGCTTGTGATGAGCCAGAGATCATGCAGTCCACTGCTCAAAACAGATCCACCCCCCAAATGCCTGGTTTAGTATTTAACAATATTCTCCTTTCTTTTTGTGGAATGTGGTTTTGAAAAAAAAAAAAAAAATGAAAATTATATTTTAATTTGTGAAAAGTGGGGGTTCGTATGACTCAACTTTTCATTTCCCAGGCAAATCTTAAATTTTATAATTCTTTTATTAATCATTGTTGAATGCCAAACTGATTTCCTTTTGTGCCTTCGTAATTCTAAATTTGAGAAAAATAAAATCAAGGAGAATTGTTTTTAGAATTAAAATTATTCAAAGCCAGAAAATAATATCTATTCATAATTGTTTTTGTTTTTTTTCTTATATCTGCAGCTACAGTGAATGATACTCGCAAGCTCTGGAAAAATATTGAACCACACCTGAAACGAGCTCTCCAGACTGTCTACCTGCGAGAAGTGTCCAGGTGAGTTCCAGTTGCTAGTAACAAATCTATAGACTTAGTAGATACTGTTGACATCAATCGATAATGAAAATACAAAAGAAATATACAAGTTCAAAAGTTTATCAAATCAAAAAAATTGTTTCAGGTATTAACACTCATATTGCAGGGTTTTATAGAAAGTTTATCACAAGATAATACATATGTTTAGCAACAAGCTAATAAGATCTTCCATTGTAAGTGAGCATTTGGCAAGCAGTGAGGCAACTGTCTGCAGATGCTGTCTAGAAGGTTTTTTGTTTAATTGAATTCTATTACTGTTGTACAAACATTCCTCATTTATCGTGGTTAATAAGTTCTAGACTGTGGTAAGTGAATTTCTGAGAAGTAGGATTATTTATTTATAAATTGAATATTTTCATAATTAGAGCATAGAAAACCTGTTTATGACCTTCTAAATGCAGTTTTTGACATTATAAGAGCTCTCTAGACATGAATTAACACCCCTGTAGTCACCTTTACACTTATATTACCCAATATATTAGACAAAATAAGAGACATATTAGGCGTTACAAATATATTATTATTATACATTAAAATCACACACAAAGTTCTTACGAGTACATCTCTTCATCATCGAACATGTTGCATTATTTTCCTAGATTCACACTAACCTAGGAAAATAATGCAATCTGTTCAGCGATGAAGAGATGTACTGCACAACAATGGTTACTGCTCATCTAAATCATTTGTATAAACATTCTTTATACTTTGAAAGGACTAATAAGCCTAATTTGATGTTTTCTTTTCAGCACCTCCTTGAAATCAATTTGCAGAAAATATCTTTGTATGTAATTTTGGTTTTGTTGCCAAAAATAAAATTTGGCTTTTATATCAAATACTATTGCCTTGTTCTGTACTCAATTTGATCTTTTAATGAAAAGATCTGGAAAAAAATGTGATAGAGTGAAGCCACAAAAGTCGAAGCGCAAAGTAGCAAGGGACAAATGTAATAAATATTTAATAAAGCTAAAGTAAACTATTTACATTATTCAGACTATTGTCCTCATCTTTGTAGCCATATTTATTACAACGTTTCAGCCATTGTATGCTCCGGCCTTCTTCAGGTGAAGTAAAATATTTGAAAATAGAAGAGTCAACCATTCTGACAAATCCAGGAAATCAAAATATATTATTCTACCCTCCAACTCAAAACAATACGCTCATTGTATTAGTTGCTCAATGTAATGACTCTGACCATAATTTTGATTTTAAAAAAATGCTACTTTAATCAAGTGAGAAAGCAATTTACTAAGATGAAAATGTATAGAAAGTGCTTTAATTACTAGAGCATCTGCAGTAAATTTACATCCAGGTTATCACAACATTTCACTTTTCTTGGCAGATCTTATCAGAATGTGGGAATTTTTAATAACAAAAGTCATGGAAATAAAGAAGACACTAAATGGAATTGGCTAGACTATATACCCAAACGCACATATTAAAGAAAAAAAATTAAAATTCAGCGTCCCCTCTCCTTCATGTGTATGTGTAATCATATCAACATGAACAGGTACTGGCCTGAATATTCAAGAAATCTTGTTAGAAAAATATGTTGTCCGGCAGGATTTTGAATCTGTTTCCTTTATGGAAAACCATTATCAGCTCTGACGTGCCTTAGAGCAACTTGGCCACTTAGGACGTCCTGCTGATCAAATAAAGCTTGAGGATGCATATTTTTCTTAAATTGACTTGTGACTTCATGCTAGCACAACCACCAATGGCTCCCCAAATGTTCCATCTACCCAATTTCACTCACAAGGCTTCAGTCAAGCTGTGGTATAGTTTTCAGGTACTTTCAAAAGGTACTGTACACTGAGATTGTGTTCTCTAGACATCAAAATGTCATCTTCCTGACAAATCGACTATGATGAGATTCAAACCAGTCTCATGATCAGAAATGTTCTAACCACTCAATCATGTTCCTCCATATATATATATATATATATATATATACACACACACACACACACACATATATATATACACACACACACACACACACACATATATATATATATACACACACACATATATATATATATATATATATATATATATATATATATATATATATACTTTCAATTAGCTCTACTGTTATAAATCCATCTTCAAGACTTAACAGCAGAAAAAAACATGAAGCCAACTGGAAACGGACAAAAATTAACACTTTTTTTTTCATAAAATTGAATTGGTCAAAACCTTGACCAAAGTATTTAAAATGTTATTTGATGATGTATTTTTCAAAATTTTTTTCAGAAAATGACATTTTGTTTTCTTTTTCAATAATTTAATTATTCACTTATCCAGAATTTTAACTTATCCCAACATATTTTTTCAACTCCTATCCCAAAATGTTCAGAAAATCAATGAAGCCCTGTACCTATTTGGCTTTTTTTTTTAGCTCTCAATGGGAGAAGATTCAGCAGGAAAACATTGCTGGCCAGGAGGTGTCAGTTCCATCTTTACATTGTATGTATATTTATTTATAATAAATTTAATTTATAAGTTTCCAACATTTCATCCAATATGATTTGCATCATTCTTCAGGTGTCAATCTAGGTAACCTTCAGGGAATTTTCAAACTGCCCCCTTTATTTGATCTATGGGGGTAGACTGTTCTCCTTACACCATCTTTGTCTACAGATATTTCATATGGTAGTTTTTTAATTTTTTAGTTCTGCTCAGTTATTGTTTGCACTGTACTACCCAGCCCAGGGATTGAACTCGGAATAACTAGGTCACCAAATTCACAAACCAATGTTTTAAAATATATACTACTTGAAATATAAAATAAATAAGAAAAAACAATTGCTGGCTATATGTAGGCATAGTAATAAGTATTTAATTGACAATATACATCCAGAATAATTGATACTTGCCACCTGCAGCTAACAGTAGATTTGGACAACTATTTTAATTTTATTATGGTAGTATAACTTTATATTATACCCCTTTTTTCGTTACTCTCTTAGTTTCAAATTAACACTTCATTCTTTATATAATCCCAATTTAATTTCATATGGTTAATAGCTGGGTTTAATTTTATAAAACATCTTCCTTTTAAGGCTAATGCCTTAGACCCTCCCCTGACCACTGCCTCGTGCCTTTCATCTGACTGAAACATTGAAATGGATAAATTCTGTATTAATTTTTCAACGATTGTCACCTTTTAATTTTCTAATTTCGACGCAAACTCAGTCTATATACCAGGGTTGAATAAGACTGACAAAGTTTTCGTTAATGGAAATAGATCTATTCCCCAATATGAGGTAATTTTTTATTTTATTGTGTACTACATTTGCTCTGTAATAATAAATACATTGATCTCTTTTTGTGGATCAGTTTTAATATTTTGTATTACTAGGATCCACTTGGATTATTAATATATATATTTACTAATATATATATATATATATATATATATATTAAAAATAATTAATTTTGTTTTTCAATGTTAAATATTCTCGATATGAGACATTATACACATTTATTTATTTATTTATATATATATATATATATATATATATATATATATATATATATATATATAAAAATGTGTTTAATAATATGTGGAAATCTCCACTTTTACCTGAAGACAGTTTGTAGACCAGAAACTCATGTAGCAAAATTATGGAAAATAAAGCATAATATTTTTTTTCTGAAAAAAAAAATCCACATTACAAACAAAAAAACGTTTTGCACCTCTCTTCTTCTTCTTTACATACATACTTTTCTCTTGTTGGAACCGTTTCCAACCTCTTTCTTATATATATATATATATATATATATATATATATATATATATATATACACACACACACACACATTGAGTTCTACTTGGATTCTATCCTCTCGAAATTTATTTATATATATATATATATATATATATATATATATATGAAAAGATTCTTACAGGTACAAAATTTTATTATGGCAAAGAATAAGCGGAATGTAAAGGACATAATTATGAAAACTAAGAACTAAAACAAACAACCGGTTTCGGTCCCAGTACTCCTCAAGTTTGATACACTGGGATTATTTAATCATAAACTTAGAAACAAAAAACCATTCAATGAGGGGGAAAGGGGAAAAAAAAAAAGAGCCCAATCACATTCAAGCCCAATGTGGCACCTTGCATTATTAGAAATATTCATAGAAATATGATTTAATTTTTTTTTTTTCGGTTTATTAAACAGGTTGTTTTTTTTTTTTTTTTTTAACGGAAAATAATTGAGTTGAAAATAATTCACTAAGATTGTACTTTGGACGATCCTAAGGGAAGAAGAAAAAGAAAGGAAGAGAGTTGGATGATGCATGACCCAGTCAATGGTGGAGGTAGGAGTCAGAAAGATATCTTGGCCCATGTGGGCTGAATTTTAAAGGATAATGGGAAATTGTTATTTGAAATGAAAATCATTAAGAGGGAGAAAAAGAACCAGGCTTGATGACAGTGTTTTTGGCAATTGATAAGAAAATCGGTCAAAGCATCTAGCCTACTTTTATGAGAAAGACACCTTATCAAAATTGAGAAAGGGAAATTTTTTAGAACAATAGAAACGAAATTTTTTTTTAATCAGAGAAAAGTGTCTTTTGGGTTGAGGGGGAGGACCGGTGGAACGGGTATACAGATTCTGACCTGTTAAAAATTAGAACCCCACATTGACGAAAGTGAAAGATGTTTTCAATTCAGATAAATTAAGATTTTCTGACTGCGGGTCTGACAAAAAACAAGAGGTGAAAAAACGATTGTCTCAGATCACAGATGGCGCATAATATTCTTTCCTGAAGTCACAACTAATTAGCGGCAGGCTGTGTTGACAAAACCCAGGTGAGAAAAAGCCAAGATTATCATTTTTCAGACGTGCGAAAAAGGCCAACTTAGATTTTGTTTTTTAAAAACAAGAACGATGTAACCACGCCGAAAAGGAGGAGAAAGGATGCTCGATCAATAACAATTGGTCGGAAACGGTCACGTGATCTGCAGAAAAGAAGAGAAAGAAATGCCCGATCAGGAACCATTGGCCTAAAAACGGTCACCTGACATACGAGAGACTAAGAGAGATGGGTGTGCACCTCCCCACCAAAGGCACTGTGAGGAAGTAGGGGTGAAAACAATAGCGATAATGAGAAATCAAAAATAATGCGACTTTTTGGAATTATCGAAAACCCCTGACGCCGACAGACCCACCCCCGGTTTGCTGCGGCGCCAATAAAAGCAGGGCCCCAATCGAAAAAAGGCAGTTCAACCTCGGACGGCAGAGAAGAGATCACCGGACGACAGAGAGCTGCGGCTGAGTTGCGGCGGCAAGAGATCCTTCTGTAACACTGTGGGACGCTGGGGAGGATTAGAGGAAAGGTAAATTGTTTTGATAAGTGAATTGTCAAAGAAATAACACTAAATTGCTAGAACGATGACCAGTGGTGGTTGGAATTAAGAAAAGAAGGAATTGTTTTGTTAAATCGAATTTTGACTTGAACAAAAATTCACCAAGTGCCATTTCCTTGAGTAGCCGGGTGTCAAGTCATGAGGCTAAACAAAGGCACTTTAAAAACCACTTGACAATTACGGTGACCGATCCACTTAAGGCACAAAAATTGGCCGAAATATGAAGGCAGTCGAAACAAAGACAACTTGACGACCGTGTCAACAACTAATTAGAAAATATCCTTTTCTTTCTAAAGTGATCGTCGGAATTAAGATTTACCCAAATTGTCTTTTTTGAGTGAATTTTGGCTAGAACAGGATTTATAAAAGTACCATTTTTGGACCGCCAGTTAGGTTCACGGTGAAGCTTAAACAAAGACACTTGACAGTCATGTTAACACTTCTCGGGCGCAGGCCGACATCCCAACAATTAATTAAGAAATATTATTTTTATTTGTTAAAAGTGGCCGCCGGGTGCTGAAGTTGAGATCTACCCAAGGCCAGTGTGAGCTTCATTACCAACAAGCGGAATCGTGGACGAGAAGATTTATTTGGTCAAGTGGCTCAGAGAGGCGGAGCGCCAACAGAGTTCTGGGGAACAAGGAGGCCCCCCCACATTCGGACGGTTGTAGGAAGCCTTCTGATTGGTCGTTGGGGTATGCTGGCATCCAGAGAGACACCATGCCCACCCCAGCCCTTTTACTGGGCCCCATAAAATGAGAAGCCGAGGAGAGTTCGACACTCACACACACACGCCGGAGTCGCAGACCAAGGGACACGCAGGCAGCTGAACGCTGACAGACAAGACCAATCCTGTTCCCATGTGACCTGTCGCCTGAAAGTAGAAAACCTCCGACTTTGTTTAGCCTTGTTCCAAAGATACTGAAACCAACACCACCAGTGCCCAATCGGGCCTCGATAAATCGAAGGGGTCGCTAGTTACTGCATGAGAAACATTTGCCTGTTGAACACAGCCCAAGTCGAAACATCACTAACCAACTTGTAAGAGTATATAAATATTATTTTTTTAAGCAGTCCGACATACACAATTTATATTCAGAAATCTTTTTTTGATATTTTTTCCTTTAGTCCACTGGTTGGGAAATGAGGTGCAATATTAAGATATTCGGTTTACCATTTTTTTTCATCAGCAATCTTTTTTTGTCTCGTGAGTTTATTCTTTTATTTGTGGATCGGGCCTGTCCCAACTGGTCTTTTAACACACGTGGGGTAGGACAGGTGACCAGGTATTCAAGTCGGGAAAGGCGGGTCACATCTGATCAGCCGAGGAGACCGGATCCCACCTCGGGAGTTGAGCCGGCCCGCTTACACCAACAAGCGCTAATATTATATATATATATATATATATATATATATATATATATATATATAGAATATACTTCCAGCCAATCCAAAAAGACACTTAAAAAAATCCGAAAAGACAAGAGAACTTCCAGCCCAAGTTGAAGTTGAAGAGAACTTCCAGCCCAAGTTGAAGACAAGAGAAGAACTTCCAGCCCAAGTCGATTTAAGAAGAAGAAATACAACTCAAGTCAAGAGAAGAATCAACTGTAATGATCGATAGAAATTAGCCCCAGTGTCAAAACCAAACCATCCGACATACACAATTCTAAAGAGTAGGCAATTGGAAATGTTTTTAGGTTGTGTGATAGAAGCTTGGTGCCATAGTCCACAGAGCGGTTGGGAAATGAGAACAATTTTGTTTTTATGTAACGAACATTAAGATATAAAAGGTTGTTACCCATTTTTTTTTTCATCAGCAATTTTTTTTTTGTCTCGTGAGTTTATTTTCTCTTTTATTTGTGTTTTGCCACCCCTGGCCGGACTCAACTTGTATCGGCCCCAATCCCTGCTGGTCCCGTCTGTCTAAGATCTAAACACAGCGTGGGTAGACAGACCGGGAGATCGGGCACAGTTGCTTTTAGTGACCAGGTATTGGGCGAAGTCGGGAAAGGCGAGGCTGGTGATCATCTGACCAAGGGGTTGAGCGGCACGCTTGGACCCAGGAGGAGCGACGTCACCGTTGGCGCCGTAACCAAAGGATCCGACCCTGGGCCAGGTGTGTAAACCGTCCACACCAACAAGCAATCTCTAATATTATATATATATATATATATATATATATATATATATATATAGAATACAATATAAAATAATATATTGTAAAAAGTGGCTGTAAACAGCTGCGTTTAAGAAGGTGCAATCCAAAAAGACACTTAATACAAAATCCAGAAAATTTGGGTTGTAGGGCAAAATGTAATTAGACACCAAAATTCAAACTTCATCCTACCTACCTGAGGAGATCTAACATTTGAAACCTGGGTAGTATGGTAGTTTGAATTTTGGTGTCCCTAATTATATGTATGTATGTGTGTGTGTATATATATATATATATATATATATATATATATATATATATATATATATATATATGAGAGAAAGATAGTTTCTTGGTGGCATATTTCATTCTGAGAATGAACTTCTTCAGACTAAGTTTTATTGATACACTCCATCTTACATATGTCGAGAGAGAACCTACAACATGACACACAGCAAGGTGCGGGTAATTTGGCTAGTAAATATATAAAACCATATGGTGTTTTTTGTCTTCAAATTTCTTTTAACTGATGGAAATTCTTATAGAATGGTTCATATGTTAGTTTCATTACTTTTCAGTGTGTCAAAATGTGAAGTTGTTTCAAAGTTGTCTGAGTCCAAAAGATATTTATGCATTCTACCCCGAGGTACATTGGAAGAGAGTTAAGCATTGCCCTGATGTTCACCACAACACCAGTTTTTAATTTGCTAGCAAAACTGCATCTTCTTCCTCAATACAAGTGAAAAAAATTAAAAGTCAAATCAATTTGGCTGCTTGACTCTATTTGATATGGCGGATACCAAAGCATTTAGGGGACATGGTGTTTCCGGTGAATTTTACAAAACAATTGCAATTACTTTTTTTTTTTTTTTTTTTTTTTTTGTCATCTCAGCTCCTGACTTCCTAAAGTTTACCCAGTGTCTGCCTGCACCAAAAATTTATAAAATCAGTGTGATCATCCCAACAGCATTTTCAAAATTGACTAAGTATTATTAAGTAAAGAATATAAAATATATCAAGTTGGTATTCCGTTTTCTCAATTGGCCTCTGTTCTCTCATGCTTGATAAATCAGTGATGGTTGGAAGTAACTTTTTCTTTTTTTTCTTCTCTCTCTTTTCCTATCTCTCTTTTTTTCCCACACTTTCTTTTTTTTCTGTCTATCTCTTTATCCTCCTCTCTGTCCTTTCTTTGCTTTTTTTCTTTACTCTTTTTTAAATTAAAGGAGGTGAAATAAGAAGATTAAGTTAAGGAACTTTCTTCATTTTATGCCCCAATATATTTCTACTCTCTTTCTTTTTCCCCTCTCTTTCTTTTTTTACCTCTCTTTCTTTTTTTACCTCTCTTTCTTTTTCTCTTTGACTTTTAAATTACAGTTGTTGTAATAAGTGGATAAATTTAAAGAAAAACAAAACAAGGAAGGAAGAAAAAACTGAAATCCCTCTTTCTTCATTATATGCCCCAAATATTTCTCCTGTCTTTCTCATTCTAAGTCTAGTCTCTATTTACCTTAAAACTTCCTCATTGTTCTCATGTTCCATGATATTCTCAAGATCCTCACAACCAAATCACTGTTGATTAAAGACTACATTTGTGTGGAAATTGTCTAGCATTCACTGCTATACAAGAGGATTGATATTAAATAACAGTTCAGTAATCTTTTTTTTTTTTGTTTCTTAATGCTTTACTTAGATTTTGAAAGGCATCTTTCATTAATGTGCCTTTAGATTTGGGTTTCATATTTTCCATTGCTGTTATAAATAGAAAAGATTATTAATATAGTAAGATCCTAAAACATATCACTTTAACTGTTCAATATTTCAATGTTTCTTTTTATTGTCTCTCTGCTTAGACCGCTGCTACCTTGAGTTACCGTTTTACTCCAAGTACCTTCTCATTGCTGCTTACCTGGCATCCTACAATCCTGCCAAAACGGATCGTCGATTCTTCTCCAAGGTAAGATTACATGACATTTTATTTTAAGGAGATAATATTTCAATTTGTACCTGACAATTGCTACATTCATGAAACTACAAATTGTACCAAACAGTGAGAAACAAATGTATTTTTATTCTCAGTATAGGTAATGGAAGAAACAAGAAGAGTAGGTATGACTTCTAGTTTCACGCTTTGTCAATCTTCAGGTGTCAACACCCATTCGAATATTAAAATATAAAAATAAGGAAGAGTCCATTATCACTTAATCAAAGAGTAGGTAACAAAGCAGTTCTTTTCCTACCTACACAGAAAATAATTCGGACATTTTATTCAATAATCTGTCCTGTTCAATTTTATTCAGTAGTCTGATATTGTAGACCCCCCCCCACTCCTCTGTTTTGGGGGAGTCTCTATAATGCTTCACTTTTTGGACAGGTATAATTAAAACTTCTTCCTAAATCAAGCATTACATGCAAATCCTTTTTTCAAAATTTTCCATTCCCCTTCTGAAGTATTCCTATCTTTGTCTTTCAATTCCCACAAATACATAGAAAGCATCAGTCTACTGGCATACTGCCTTCTTTTGAAAGAAGTTTTCCATAGCCCTCCAGTAATACGTAAGACGTACAGAGGTGAACCATAATGCCAATAGTACAATACTTTCTACATATTTATGGGAGTTGAAAGATAAAGACGGGAATACTTTCAAAGTGGAATAGAAAATATGAAGTAGAGACTAATGAATACAAAGTCTGAATTACTTTCCAAGTTTAACTACATATACATGCTTTGCTACCTGCAACTTCACTAGCTGATCATGTCTTTCCCATATTTGTATATTTTAAAATCAAAGTGAGTGGGTGTTGATATATTACTGCATACCTGAAGATTGCCTAAGCATGAAACTGGCAGTCATGCCTACCTTTATTATACCTTGTTTCTTATAATATTTATAGTAACTCTTTCTAGTTGACATTCAGAAGATAGAAAATTTATTGTTAAAAAATATGACACACACACACACACATATATATATATATATATATATATATATATATATATATATATATATATATATATATATATACAAACAAGTTTGATAAAAAGAACTGACAAATTCTGTCTGTTTAATTTTTTTTATTATTTGTTAGTTAAGGTTTTGAATATTCTGCTCAAAGCTGTGGATAAACTGTCTGAAGCACCTAAGCACACAAACATATTTAGATATATACACACACAAAAAAGTGACAAGACAGGAAATATTTGCACGACCTTAAAAAAAAAAATTAAACCACACACATACACAATGAAATGTGCATGCATGCGAAAAAGATACATACATATACCTACATACATTGACATACACTCTGATATAACACTAAAGAAATATTCAAGATTGAAGGTGTTATTAAACGACTTCTAACCACATATTAAAATATAAATTATACGGGCCAATAACAAACGATAGGTAAAGAAAGGATATTAAAATAGATATATACGTATAAAAATAACACCATCTTATATATGAAAAATGAAAATTCCAAACACACATTGTGCATTAGGTGAAAGAAAATAAGAACTACCTACAAATATGTGTACAGTGTACACACATTCATTACTACAGACAGAAGTGCAGAAAAGCCAAACTATAGACAAACATTTAGACACATATATACACATACAGAAGCCAGCATAAATATATCAACCTACACAGCAAACCAAATATAAATATATATACATACATACACATATCTCTACATATATATATATATACAAACAAATATACAAATACACACACACACACATATATATATATATATAAAACGGAGACTTAAACATACCCATATATATATATATATATATATATATATATAAAATATATATAAAACGGAGACTTAAATATATATATATATATATATATATATATATATATATATATATATATATACATACATAAACCTACACATATTCTACATATATTATCCTATTGGCGATAAATTACACTAGAGTCCATAATAATTTTAAAATGTAACAAGACACAGTTGTTGATTAAGTCTATAAGCAATTAACAAACCCTTATTTAACAAAAGTAAATTTTAGTTAATATAGATGATACAATCCCAGACACTAAGATATACATATACATATACAAAGAAATACGAACATACTTTCACATATACAAATATATGATCATGCATAAATAGTATAGTAAAATGCATGCACATTATGTGTGTAGTTTAAATATTTATTTATTTTTTGTAAAAGTTTGTGCAAATATTTCCCGTCTCATCACTTTTTTGTGTGTGTATATATCTAAATATGTCTGTGTGCTGAGGTATTATAATCTGATTGTGTTTGTATTGTCTTTCGCAAGATGTCATAATCCCATGTATACACTTGTATCTCATTCGGTTAAGGGCAGTCGATTTTAACGTTTATTCCAACGTAATTTCAATAGAAACAGAATGAATAGAATAACGTATTTTTTCTTTTTTCTTCAATAATTTTAAAATTTTAAACTTAATATAGATTAAATTTACATTTTTGAAATGGGTAGTTTTTAATTTTAATTTCAAATTTTATCGTACAATTTAATACTTAGTTAGAATAAATTCTATTTTAGTATAAACCCAACTTTAAAACGTTTAATAATTATTATAACCTTACTTCGTTGTCAAGTTTTTTGAATTCTTGTATACTTTTTTTGATTGGTCATTTCAGTTCATGTAACAGCGTTTCCCCTTACAAGGGGTGGTTAGTTGATTTAAACCTTTTAAACCCTTTATTTTACAATCTACATTCAACATCATCACTTGATAAGACACCAAAGGTGTTGAAACAAAATGGCTATTTTTGTAGAGATTTTATAACATATTTATCTTATAATTTTTAAATAAATAATTATATTCGCTCTACTCTGTATTGAGCACTCTTTTAAGAATAGTAATTGTTGGTGGTTGGAATTTATTCCATATATACCAATCATACACTTTATATATATATATATATATATATATATATATATATATATATATATATATATATTCTCAAAATTACCTGATGATCAAAATGTTTTTGAATAAAATGTTATATTTATAAATATATAATTTATTTCTTTTTTTTTCTTTTTTTTTTGCTTTTAGCGCAGTGAAAAAATGAAAGGAAAATTTAAAAGGAATAATGAGCGTGTAAGTTTTTTTTCATCTTCCTTTTTAGGGAATTTCAGAAGAGCAATACATTTTAGTAACTTTAGATGTATATTTAAGGTAGTCTTACTCAATTCAAATATATATATATATATATATATCACTCTTTCCAGGTAACAGAATAACAAAATAGGGAACAGGTAAAACAAATCTAACCTTTGTCAAATATATGAATTATTTTACTCATTGTCTGGAAAGATATAAGCCACAAAGTTCTTACATGTACAAACATGCTGGAGCCTCTGCTCGATGGTTAAATAGTTACACTTTTAAAGTGGACTTGATAGAATTTTTGAATAATGTAAATGTTGTAATGAAACGTCCCACACTCCTTATCACCTATGTCAACTGACTATATCAGTAGATATATATAGTAAGCATGTGATATACCTGGTAGACTTTCTTTGAGAAGTAGTTAGAGATTTGTCTCGAGCTGTGCTGGTCAAACTATCTGCCTTCGGGCAGAGAGGAACCCAGAGAAGGCTATGCCGAATGGCAGTCTCATCTGGGGTGGTAGACAGCTACCCGACCCCATTTTTTACAGGGTCTATGGGAAATTTTTGCCTGAGCCTACGAGCTCGGATACTCTATGTTAAATTCAGCCTTGTGCCACATCTGACCGCATGGGGCAGTTGGCAAATATCCTTGCTTTGGGAATTACTAGGTTGTGAACTGATTACTTGTCTTTCAGTAGTGGCTTTAGTATTCTCTTTTATAATAAACCTTTCTTTCATCTACGCTCATGTTGTGTTTCTTTCACTCAAGTACCACCTTTGTCTGTTTGTAACCTATGAGGAGACAACAGTAATTTTTTTTTTTTTTTTTAATCATTTCACCCCCAAGCAAGGTGACAATGCCACTAAGACATTAAGGGTTACTGAGAGTGAGAGAAAATGAGAAAACACTAGAGAGAAGAAAGGACAATAGAAGATCTGGATTCAGGAAGACAGAAAATGGCAACTAATGTTGCATTTAAATTTTTGAAGATTGTAAGATGGCATGGAAGCAAAAAACTGGAATAGCTCCACAGGTAAGAGGTGCGAGAAAAGAAGCTGTTAGAACAGAACTTATGGTTACATGGGGAAACTTAGTTGTCAATTTAGTAGTACAGTTAAGCTCATGGAGTTTGGGTACCAAAGAGAAAAGCTCATTAGAACAATTGTCATGAAAATCTTTATAGAAAAGACACAGAGAAATCAGGTCTCAGCAGTGGGAAAGTAACTGAAGCCGAGATGCCAGATCAGGACCAATTACATTACAGACCCTTTTTTTTAGATTTTGTCAAGAATCTTGAGATATTCAATGTATAGACGAATGGTAGATTTATAAATGTGCAAGAAGGTTTCTGGCAAGAAGAATTGCCTAGCATGACACGGTGAACTAACTTTCCTGTCAATTAATTCAATATAACCATTCCACTTCATGTCAGTGGACAACAAGACCAAAAAGGTGCAAAGAGTTGTTTACCTGAAAATTAGAGTCAGCCATGTTGATGGCAGGTAAAAATAGTTCCTTGTGATGACTAAAAGATAGCAGTTTTGTTTTGGAGGCATTGAAATTTACAAGCCATTTTTTGTCTCAGTTAACAACTGATTGGAGGTCATTTTTAAGAACAACAGCCAGTTTTACTTTGTTGGACTTAGTATTAAGACAGGAGGAAATAGTTCACTATTTACATTATTCGGACTTGAGGACACATGGTGCAGTGGATAAGGGCGTTAGTTAGATCCAGTGACAGGACCCAAAGAGTGTGAGTTCAATACCTGGTTAAGGCAGTGGAGAACTTTCAAAGGGGAATTAACAGGAGATAACTGACATTCATTAGACATGGCATGTGGAAGTAAGACAGTCTACCCCAGTGAGCACAATAAAGGGTTCAGTTCGACATTCCAACCACCTGAAGAAGGCTGGAGCATACAACGACCAAAACATTGGGATAAACATGGCGACATCTTAGAATCAGCCATGTTGATGGCAGGTAAAAATAGTTCCTTGTGATGACTAAAAGATAACAGTTTTGTTTTGGAGGTATTAAAATTTACAAGCCAAGATGAGGACTAGTCCAAATAATGTAAATAGTGTACATAATACCTCATCTCAGAAATATAGACAGATACTGGAGGAAATAGTTGTGTCATCAGTATAGACACTGAGTTGGGAACTGAAGATTAGAAACAACATGAATACTGTATAAATATCGTATTCAGTTTTAATTATGCCAAAAATATTGTTTGAGATTTTCAGCTTCTTTGATTTGAAATATGATTTTGAGTAATTGTCGAAAAAATTTTGATGCACTGGATTCCACTATCGAAAAAAGTGAGTAAATATGTATTCTTTAATAAAATTGAATAATTTTATATTGTGCAATATTTTACATTGTATTTACTTGCTTCACCCCAAGCAAGGCAACAGTGCCACTAGAATGCAGGGTGTTACAAGGGGCGAAAGTGAATAAGGAAATTGCAAATAGGAAGGTTGAGTCTGTTGATATCTCTTTTCACTCTGCCACCAGTCATGAACCCCTCATTAAAAGAATTTCTTTCTGCTGATTAGGACTCATTTCGTGACTTCCTTTGTGATGCTCCCTGGAAGGATATATTTAATCACTATTATAGATATATGGATATAATCTCTCTCATCACTAGTGTAGAATTATCTTTTTATCCTCTTGTTTCTGCCTAATATCATGTCCTAGTCCTTTTCTAGAAATGAATGTAGCTAAAAACTTTCTAGTACTGTTATCTCTTTATTTTCAGAAAAGCAACCACCTTTTGGGTCCTAAACTCTTCACAATGGATCGGCTGTTGGCCATATTCTACTCAATTGTTGAAGGAAGAGTTGCTCCTTCAGCTGATTTATTTATGCAGGTATTTTTAACAGGATTTCAGTAGAAACCCTTTTCTTTTATTTTAATATATATTTCTAAAGAATTAATTTTTTTTTTTTCAAAGTGGTGGAGGCATGTTGTCATGGAAAGTTTCAGTAATTGAACTGTTTATGCTTTTCTCCAGGACTGATCGATAACTGTTTATTGTGTTTTATATATATATATATATATATATAATTTTAAATAATTTCACTGCAAGCATGGCAATGAAGCCACTAAGACGCAAATGGTTACTGAGTATTAGAGAATATGAGAAAAATATACTATTAAGAAGAGAAGACAATAAAAGAACAAAAATTAAGACAGAAGCTATCAGTTGACATTGCATTTAAATTTCTAAAGATCTAAGTTGATATGGAAACTGGAAGCAAGTTCCATAAGAGAGATGTGCAATAGAAGAAACTGTCATCATTGAACTTAAACATTCATCCGACATTTTTACCATTCCAATGTTAATATAGAGTTTACTCCATATTTGAAACAGACAGCCTACTTTTAATTATTAAACAGTTGCATATTATGTCTATCATATTGTGTATTTGAGAAATCTTATTAAAGCAAAATGTGTTCCCCAGCAGGGATTGAACCTGTAGGGAAAACACTGTTTGATTGAGTGTATCTTATCACTCGGCCAATCTGCGTGAAGAGAATGTACTTCCTTATAAAGGGAAAATAGGACGTTGCTTGCTGTGTCATTTTCTGTGACTTACTTTTACTGTTTAATAAATAAAAATAGGACATCTCTTTCAAATATGGAGTATCCATTATCATGATGTTTGAAGTAATAAAAATGTAATTATATATATATATATATATATATATATATATATATATATATATATATATATATATAATCTTGTAAATATAAGTAAGTATACTCGTCCGGAAAAACCTTAAGTGTTTTGGCTCATAAATGAACAGACCAATACCCAAGGAAAAATAAGGAATAAAAAAAAAAAGAAAGAACTAAGAACATGTAATTCAGAGGAAAGCAATTGACTAGAATACAAGCTCAGTCTCCAAAGGAAAAAAAAACCTCTGACACGAGTAGAGTAAAAATAACTAAGCAAAGTGCTCAATACAGGCAGCATTTTATATATATATATATATATATATATATATATATATATATATACACACACACACTTCAGGCAGATCTTGATTGGGTCTTCATCACAATAGGTAGGAAGGAGTAGATGCATTAGGCAACAATAAACAACTACAGAAAATCTCAAAATTGATTGCTGCATTTAAAGTATTGCATCAAAATTTAAGCTTACCTTTTAAAAGTTTAATAACAATTCTTCTGCTGCCACGTAATTTGATGTATGTAGGTCCTTACTTTCCATACAAACAATTATTTTTATTTCATGGGTGACTTTCACTGGATTTCGTAATTAGATTTGATTATTCATAAATTTATTTCCAAGTTGTTTTAAAAATTGTTATTTTACAAAAAATTTGTCACAAAAAATCGCTGAAAACAATCACAGTAATGAAAACTTGGGAAATGAAATTTTCAGAATTGGATTTCTGGATCTAGCCTGGAATGTTTTTAATTTACTTCCAAAGTTGGCTTGATTTCAAAATGGTATATGTTGGGCTACAGGCTCTAGGAGTAAAGTTGATAATACGGACAATTTTATTTTGAAACACCGTAATTTGACAATAGTACTTTTTTTTTTTAATTTGGACATGAGCTATTGAAAGTTAGAGAGTTGTGTCCCTTTAATTGTTTTTATCAGTGGAATCCAATATGGTGTAATCCAAAATTTCAGGATTACCGATCTGGATGGAACCCGGAATGGAGTCTGTCTGATTCCAAAATAGAATATGTTGGGCTACAGCTTCTTGGAGTAAAGTAGATATATATGAAGAGAGATATTGATATGTATTTGGGCAGCAACCTTTCTTTTATGCATCTTCCATTGAAAACGGCTAACAAGGAAGATTTAATTAATATTAATTTTCTTGAGTTTTTCCAGCAATCTAACATTTTTCTGTTTTTCCAGGCATTAAAGAATATAGGAATTGTCCATAGTTATAATTTTTCTGAGCACTTTCAGTTACTTCTCTAGCCATTAAGGATGTGTTTTGGATGGTGAAATTCTGTATGTGGCTGCTAAATAGTCATTTTACAGTGTGGAGTTCAAGCAGTTTGTGTGCTTCTTGGAGGCCATGTGCTATGTGTGGCCAGTTGACCGGGGCAAGACTTCTATTTTTTTTAGAACACTTGTAACATGCTCTCTCCTCAGTGTGAGATTGATAGTGGGAGAATAAGCAGAGCCTCCCTAATGACATACTATGTACAACTATGTCACCGGAAAAGGATCCTTATATTATCAACTAGAATTTTCCTTCAGGAAAATTCTACTTGATAATACAAGAATAGTTCTAGCTATATATAGTTTTATACATTTTTATATATATATATATATATATATATATATATATATATAGTGTATTTAGGCAGCAATCCTTCATTTATGCATGTTTTATTAAAAAACGACAGACAAGGTACTATGGTTAAGTCTTTTATTTAATTCTTCTTGTGTTCAAACAAGTGGTTTCTTTTTGAGACACAGAGTGTGTAAAAACTGTCCAAATGTTCTATAGCTTTCGGCTATACTTTTAGCCATTATCAAGGATGATTTTATTTTTACAATCTAATTGGGTGTGTGCTTTGTGTGTATGTTTTTAGTGTTATAGTGATGTTTTATTTTCTATGGATTCTCTGCAGTATACATTATTCAATGGAGAGTTTACAGAATTTCTACAGTTTCATAATTTTTCTTTATTATTGTTTATTCTTATTTCAAGATCTCTATTTCTTTGATTCAAGCATAAGTATTTATTCAAGATTTTATTATGTTTTTTATAATCCTTTCTAAATTCTGAGTATAGCTGTAACTTAATTTTAGAATATTTTTTTTTTAAAATTTTGCTAAGTTTACTATTTCTAGGAAAATGTTTTGCAATTAAAGCCAGAATTTTTTTTCCTAACTTACTATTAACCATTTGGTTGAACCTTTTACCAAATGATTTTTTCTATTCCTATTTTTTCTCTGGTTTCTATTAGCAATTTTTATATAATTGATGTCAGGGCATTTATAGCCACTATACACAGTAATAAGTTGACAGCTTGAAAGAAAGTCAATGTAGCTGGACATAAATCATTAGCCCCCACCCAACCTTAACTGACTTTTAAATTTGCTACACAAAGATACACTTACTATCTATAATTGTACATTATTCGCACACACACATATATATATATATATATATATATATATATGTGTGTGTGTGCATGTGTGTCATCATTAAATGCCCTTAGCATTTGAAATACAATCATTAAATTCTCTTATTTGGAAAAAAAAGTTAAGTATTAAAAAACAAAAGAAAGAAAAATGCCTAAAATATTTCTAACATTCAAATCTTTTGTAGATTTCTTCACTTGTGACTCTTCATTTACTTAGCCAAGTTTCATCTGACGATCCACTTGAATTACCAAAGTACAAATGTCTGGTGTCACTAGACACAATCAGATCCATCTCACGGTAAGTTTCTTTATACAAAACATTCTTTTGAGAATTAAGAAAAATATCTGGAAGTTGCAATATTAAATCTCTTTAAAACTTGTTTCTATTGAAATAATCTGAAAATTTTATTCAGTTTTTTTAGTGAAATTATTAAATTTCTTTTAACTTAAGAGATATTACTCAACATATTTACTCTTTGTCTATATTTCTGAGATGAGGTATTATGTACAGTATTTACATTAGTCGGACTATTGTCCTCATCTTTGTCGCCATATTTGTCACAACGTTTCGGCCGTTGTACGCTCCGGCCTTCTTCAGGTGGTTTGAATTTCGAACTGAACCCTTTATTTCGATCGCTGGGGTAGACTGTTCTAATTCCACGTGCCATGTTTGATGGATGTCAGTTATCAGTTATCTCCTGCTAATTTTCCCTCTGAAAGTTCTCCACTGCCTTAACCAGGAATTGAACTCACCTTCTTTGGGTCTGTCACTGGATCTAACCAACGCCTTTATCCACTGTGCCATGTGTATGAACTTCTGAGTATTATAAACCTAATGTTTTCAGCATCATTTTTACCAGTGCTCATATTGCAATTTTTTGCTGTTATCATTGCATGTCTTTACCAGGGTTCATATTGCAACTTTGTTATCATTGCTTTTCTCTGGCACTCCTTATTACTGGTTCCCATATTGTATTTATTTCTATGCTTGGTCGGCTCAGGAGATTTTTGTGGCCTAGCAACTGACATCCATCAAACATGGCACGTGGAATTAGAACAGTCTACCCCAGCGATCGAAATAAAGGGTTCAGTTCGAAATTCAAACCACCTGAAGAAGGCCGGAGCGTACAACGGCCGAAACGTTGTGACAAATATGGCGACAAAGATGAGGACAATAGTCCGACTAATGTAAATACTGTATATTTACTCTTTTCTTCCACTGGCTTTTATGAATTTCTTAATTCTACCTACCCTAGAATTTTATTTTTTATCTTTCCTAATCTAAACCTGCCCTAGTTGCTTTTTGCAGTCTTCTATAGAATTAAATTTCTTCTTTTACTAAAAGAATTATTTATGCATAAACTATTGTCACTATCTTTGTTGTTATTTTTGTAAATACAGATGTCACTTTCAAAAAATAAAAGTGATAATTGTAGTAAATTTAAAGCCAAAGTACCTAAAATTCAATAATGGATTAGATTACTTGGAATATTTTACTAAATTTTTTCGATTCCTCGGCAGTTAAAATGCGTTATTAAAAATGTGCTCATGTTATATTCATCAAGTAATTTTTAAAAGTAATAATTGTTTGATAAGAAAGAGTTAATATCTCAAGACATTAGTAGCCTACACAGTACATGCTGGTTTGAATGTGTCGTGTTTTGATTTTTTGTTTCATTTGTCCACTAAAAACCAAAAAGAATTCTCAAAACAAAATATAACGAGAAAGTTAAGAATTAAACTCCTGTATATATTCACGTATCGTGCAACCTTTGAAAACCTAATTTTGAAACTAATTTGACTCCAGTAAATGGAGATATATATATATATATATATATATAAAAAAGGTAGGATGTGTGTGTGTGTAACGAATGCATGGCCGCAATTTTTGACGGATTTGCACCAAAATTTACATGCACATGCTCCAAGTTAGCAGGAAGACCAAGACCAACTTTGCATTTCCCAACTCCCATTGATAGTGGAAATAATCGATTTTTTTCATGCTTCTACGTCAGTTTTCATGTAGTTTGTGGCCATTTTGTACTGGCCAGAGTGAGAGCCTATAGCTGACTGCCAAAAATAGGCAGAAAGATTCTATTGGCCAGTGTGAGAGCCAACAGCTGACTGACATGAATGTTAATTAGCATGCAAAAAAAATCGATAGCTGCATTCATCACAAGTGGGAAAAATTTAAATCTGCATGGCTCATTCACTTGCTTAAACTCAACATTGATTCTGATTCCACAGAACTGGGTTGGGTGTGAAAAAGTATTTGTTGTTAACATTCTTTTTTTATTTGGTTTTTCCAGTTACGAGTCCTTTTTTAAAGCTGATTGTTTTGTGTTCATTTTGTTTAGTTCTTTTTTCATAACAGATTTAATGTTTAGTATAGAGCTTAGAAAAAATTCGCAGTTTGAGATAGGCACGAGGTAAGGCATGTAGCAACATCAGCACGGTAAAGGGCACTCCTTTAAAGGTAAGGAAGGGCAAAAATATTTTGAGTCAAGTGATAGCAATGGCTGTATGAGTCGTACAATTTTTGAATCAATGCCGGATATGCTGCTTATATATAGAGAGAGAAAGAACCTGCAGTACATATGTTAATTTTGTGTCTCATGTATCATGTAATCCACTTAAAATTAGCTTCAAAATTAGTATGGTATAAAAAGTTTTAAATGGCAGGTGTTAAAAAAAACCATGCAGTACAAACGACCAGTTAAAAAGTAGACTTAACATTAAAAAACAAAAGACAGTGATATTACAGATGTCACAATACAGTCAAAACTAAATGCAAGATGAAGCTTTTCTTTAACTTCTTCACTAACCTTTTTGTTTCTTATTTTTCAGAACCGTGAACTTTGACATTCTTCGTTATCTCTATGATTTCCTCTGAAGATAAGCATTTCTTTCGGTAACACAATATCGTATCAAGAAGTCATTTGATATATTTTTCAATAAACATATTTATCAGAATATTAAAACTGTCCTTTTATTCAAAACTCACTGGAAGCTTTTATTCTTTTTTTTTTTTTTTTTCAATTAGGCTGCTAGTTAATAAAAAATATAGTGAAGTTTAAACCCAAAAAAATAAAAGTATAGTGGCATTTGACATCTGACTTTAGGAAGACATTTAAAACTATATAGCATGTGGAGTAGACATTTTTCAAAAAGTAGGAATGGAACTTGATGCCAATCAAAAAAAAAAAACTCTGGATTTTAAGAGTGTTGGTTTCAATCTTGGCAAATGACCACTAAAAATTTCCTCTCTCCAGATTTATAAACAAATCCTACAGATGCATGTTTGGGATTACTTAGCCAATAAAAATGAGACAATTATTTGTCTTACTCATGCATTTTTTCTTTTCTTGCCTTGAAGTCAAAAGGTTATAAGCGCTTGACTGTATATTTTTTCTATGTGAACACTTTTTCTATTTTGTGAATTTTTTCATCAGTTTTCTCTTTTGAATAAGAAAGAGTTAATATCTCAAGACATTAGTAGCCTAAACAGTATATGCTGATTTGAATGTCTTGTGTCTAACATAAGTGCAAACCAGATAGGGTCAACCTTTTCTGAACAGTAGGCCTCATGAGATATAGTTCATCATAAGGCGGGCCACACTGCTACTAAAAAAAAGAAAAGGTAATTTTTTGTTGAAGGCCTGGTAGCCATTCAAACAACAGAAAGACCCCACGCATTAACATCAGCCACATTCTTCAATGTACAGCATCTCTTTATGACGTAAGTGATCATGACTCTCCAAAACTTATCATTTGTGGTCAACTGTTTTTCCTCCTTTTCTAAGGGTCCTAACCCATGTTCTGCCAAACATGGAGAAAAGTTGATTCTTTTTTTTTTTTCTTTGGAGAAAAGATTCTTTTAAAAAAAAAAAAAAATAAAGTCTTGGTAGAATATTATCATTGACAGCAAGATTAATACACACACACACGTTTCTAACGTTCATTTGATTATACAAAAACTTTTCATTATTCTCTTATACATACACAGATTATATACAAACACACACTATATATATATATATATATATATATATATATATATATATATATATATATATACACACACAAAAAGGAAAACTTAGCAAACATGTTTCGGCCTGTATCTGTCTATATTTCTGAGATGAGGTATTATGTACACTATTTACATTATTCGGACTATTGTCCTCATCTTTGTCACCATATTTATTACAATGTTTCCGTCATCTTCTTCAGGTGGTTGGAATGTCGAACTAAACCCTTTATTTTTGTTCTAGTTCCACATGCCATGTTTAATGGATGTCGGTTATCTCCTGCTAATTTACCTCTGAAAGTTCTCCACTGCCTTAACTGGGTATTGAACTCACACTCCTTGGGTCCTGTCACTGGATCTAACTAACGCCTTTATCCACTGTGCCATGTGTCCTCAAGGACACATGGCACAGTGGATAATAGCCCGAATAATGTAAATAATGTTTCGTCCTCTGATGAATTTTATCAAGGCAAATGTAAGGATATTTTTGCAGCAAGTATTTATAAACATTTAAACAGTTTAAAAAAAAAAAAAAGTTAGTTTTTCAAAATTTCTAAATTTAAGAGACCCTTATAAATATTCATCAGGTTAACCGAAAAGTCGTGGTAAATTATGGAAGATGCTAAGTGACATAATTAAATGTCTACTAATAAACAAAACTTTTCCTTTTGTCTTTTTTCATATCCTTTTACGAATATATGTTTTAGTTATATCTGAAATTTCATATATATATATATATATATATATATATATATAAGTATGTTTATTCTCCAGAGAGAAAAAAATGGTGTCTGTAAAGCAAAAGATGTTTACACATATGATATCTACTGAAAATTACCAATGGTACAAAATGTGCAAACATTGTAGTTAATCATTGTTTATGGATGTGTGTGAGTGAACAAGTGAGAATAAAATGAAAGAAAATTTAATAAATATTTTCATCATTAATCAGATATACCATTCAGAAAACCAGATGTGATCCACTGTTTGTCCATGACTGGTATAAACCATCAAAAACGGCTGTGAATAGCATTACTGTTTTATCTTGAAATGCTTGTTGTTTCAAGTTATTTAATTCAGTTTGATTCAATAACGGGCATCTTGCTATTCAGTTTGCATTAATAAGAAATCACATGGCTTGCGTAAAAAAACTTTATTCCACCTCTGACTATTTGTCAAAATAATATATAACAAAAGGGACATAACTCTATCAGAGAAAGTGCTTAACCATCCTTACTGTTAATTTTAATAATTATATTCTATTTTATATAATAGTTATAATTGTAAAGAAAATGTCCCTTGGTAGTGGTGATTTTCTAAGCATGGCTTAGATGTGGCACAAAACCAAAAGTATGGGAAATGATATTAGAATCTGTAATTACTTGTGCCCTTGAATCCTCCCCCCCCATTACCACCACAAATTCTTCTTGCTTTTCATAACTAATTGAACATTGTATCATGACAATAGGAGGCAAGGTGGAGTAATGAATAGCAGCTCAGATTGAGGAATCGGAATGCCGAGTTCAAATTCCAGTCGAATCCATTACATTTACTTATGTACTAATACCCTTGGGAAAGGTATGAATCCTCTTCTTCTCCCCCCAGCTATGGGTAAAATAGCAGGATAGACCGGGTTCTATAGCCTTGGATGGCAACTGGTCTACTGCAAAAAGAAATAGCAACCTACTGCAGGGAAAAAAAATCTGCCTCATCAGTCATGTATCGGAAGATACATGATCGCCTAAGCATGTATCACGCATGGTACACAACTGATCATGACAATGGAGAAAAGGGAGATAAGCACATTTTTTTTCATACAGCAGTTGTCAGTTCTGTTCAAATCCTGTATCTTTTTATTTTTTTTAACAGTAAGGTTCACCCTGTACAAGGTCACTCAAGGTAAAGGGTTATGTTATAAGGGGTTGTTTATATGAATAAGAGAAGATAATAACTGATTCTAGACTTAGGAATCTGTTCCACAGAGCAGTAGTTCACAAGAAGATGCTGTTTGAGTGGAACTGCTCGTCAACTGAGGAAATGTGTGTGGTTTGCTACCATGTAAATGGTATGGCAGGTCCTAACCATGAAGGTTAGGACCTGACGGAATCAAGAAATGTAGTTAGTCCAAGCACTTTATATGGAAGTAGCGAGAGAGAGAGGATGAAGAATGAAAATAATTCTTCTCCAACAAGAATTCAGAGATGCTTTTGAATTCTACCAAGACTGGAATGTGAAGACCAGGCAGCTCTGACCCAAATATGGCAACAGTAGTCCATTTTTGACCTAATCTGGCTCTTGTTTTACATTATTCAGACAATTGTCCTCATCTTTGTTGCCATATTTATCAACGTTTCGGCCATCGTACACTCCGGCCTTCTTCAGGTGGTTGGAATTTCAAACTGAACCCTTTATTTCGCTCACTGGGGTAGACTGTTCTAGTTCCATGTGCCATGTTTGATGGATGTCAGTTATCAGTTATCTCCTGCTAATTTCCCTCTGAAAGTTCTCCATTGCCTTAACTGGGTATTGAACTCACACTCCTTGGGTCCTGTCACTGGATCTAACCAACGCCTTTATCCACTGTGCCATGTGTCCTTGAAGAAGGCCAGAGCATACAACGGCCAAAACATTGTGATAAATATGGCAACAAAGATGAGGACAATAGTCCGAATAATGTAAATAATGTACATAATACCTCATCTCAGAAATCTAGACATCCTCTGATAGGACAAGGAGTCAGGTACTTATTGGAGCAGTACAGGGAGTCAATCATTTTACTTGCATCTTTGGCAATGGATTTACCATTGAATTTTTCTTACAACCTGTTCATAATACTACCATTAAAAATTATTAGCTTCACTTAGAGTAGATGAAATATATAGTGAAATTTAAAAGAAAAAAAGTATTTCTTCCATATGCAGTGTGCATTCAGGACATTGGCAATCATGGTGATTAAAATTCCCAAACTTGCTTTTAGAAAACAAAACAAGACATTTATTGAATGTAATTTATTTCTCAGGATCCAGTATTTGTAATCGTCAAAGAATTAAAAATAAGCTGAATAAAATTTATTTAGTAAATAAAAAAAGAAATACTTTTAAATGCTGTCAAAATTAGCATTTAGGTACAGTATTCAAGTAAATTAATAGCAGCTATAATTCTCAGCTGAAAGAAACCCTTTTTTCAAAACAAAGAATTCTCATTATTATTATTATTATTATGTATTATGACAGCTGCTGTTTAGATACAAAGCACTTAAATTGTTTGTGAAGAAAGTATAATTCTCAGGTAATAACTATATGTATAATTAAATGTATTGTACCATCATAGCGTACTATAAATGCTATCACATTAGGTTGTTATTTAAGTACATCAAAAATATCCTTTTTAATCAAGATTATCCAGAATCCACTGCATGTGGTACTTGACATTTGTGTAAACTCCTGGGTTATAAGGTATGGCACATGACAATCCAAAGGAAACAAGTCCTGCCAATACCCATTGGCCATTTACTGGACACATCAAAGGACCACCTGAATCACCCTGCAAATAGAGAATTGATTTTTTTTTTTCTTAAACATTTCATTAGACAAGTGAGTTTTTATCATTTTAAATCTGATAATGTGAAAATTAAATTATTTGGGACCCAAAAGTTCTATGTACGGTATCACTTTGGTATCTCTTAGTAAGCTTTGCCTAATTTTCTATCTTTCCAAATCCCTGTTCTGCCAACCATTTACACAAACTCGTTCTCCTTTCTATCTATGCCATCACGCTTCATGATGTGGGCGATCATGGTCCTCCACAATTTCCTGTTTGTAGCTCTTAGTAAATTTTGTCTTTTTGCTATCTTTCCTAATCCCTGT